TAGCAAAACCAAATCGCAAACTAACAGGGTTATTCATCAAAGTGAGAATTCAGGGTGAATTTCAAATTGAAGGCCAAAATAGCCGAACTGAATATATCTTACAAATTCTATTTCTTTACGTATGTACTTGCGTAAATTGCTGGCCAAGCTTGGGCAAAGTATGTGAATTTGTTAATTGCATGTGTGCATACGGCACTGCTGGGGGGAATTCTAAGCGTGCGCATGTGCAGTTACTGCCTAAGCCCCGTTAGATGACTCTGATTATGTAATTATTGTATCGGTAAACACTCAATAGTATTTACTGGGGTGAAGGAACGATGAGCCGCCACGTCTCTCTCACTTCCTCTTCAAACCACTGATGTGATTGATGTTTACAAGCCCGTGTGGTAAAGTCTTTGAGATTCACTGTTGTATTAAAGCACGTGTTCTCCTGAAAGTATCACAGATTGGAGAGGAAATGGCAAACCACTGGCATTTGCGGGAAATACCGACAGTCCTTAAAATGTAGCGAGGTAGTATTAGGAGCATATAGGAGGTTGTGTATTAACTCATAATAAAATAAGTCATTGTAGAAATGCTCCAATGCACGTTTTGTGAACCTCTAGTTTACTTTATCTGGGAGATTTAATGGGGTACTGTCACTTCCTCAAATATTATTTTTTCAATTTGACAATTTTTATTTTGCTATAAAAAAGTAGATATGGGGTACAGAAGAAAAAAGGGGGGGGGTTAAAAAAATGATGAAACATAACATATGACAAACATACATCTTCATTATACAGTAAATTATTCAAGTTAAATGATCACTATTCTTTTCGTATGCGAGCTTTGACTTCCTCAAATTTAAACCAACCTAATAGCTAATGAAATGTTAGCTATTGGTTTTGCTATTTTAACAACAAAAATTCTTTAGAGGGGCAAAACCAGGCAAAGTATTAAAATAAGTTTAACTCCTTTAGGTATGTGTGCATTGTGCACAATGTTTCTCCATCCGATGTTTGAGTTTCGTGTTTGTGATCAGGTGGGTGAATACAACTTGTTTGGAGTATGAGTGGATGGTGCATGTGACTAGGTGGGTGGTTAGATGATGGACAGGGCTGGAAGAGGGTGTCTGTGAATGGAGGGACCCATGTTTGTGGGGTTACTTGTGTGGGAGGGAATGGGGCTGTTTAAGGTGTAGTATGAATAGGGGATGTATGTGAAGGAAGACGTGTGCATTTAGCGGTTAGGAGTTAAGGTTTGTAGGGAGTGCTGATACAGAACAGCCTTGTAATGTGTTTGGTGGAAATTCCGACTGTAGTGTTTTTTTTTCGTGGAGAAAATTTTGTCTGTGGTGTATGTGTGATGAGATTGCTGTGTGTATGTCGGGAGAAATCGGTGCTGCGATGTGCGTATGCGCGTTTAAAAACAAAAAACAAAACAGTAGGATACATCTACGTTGCATACGAGGTTGGGAATTTCTATTCGGGAGGAATAGTGTTTCAGAAAATAGTTGTATTTGCACAAGAGTCTCATGTATCTCCTTTCCCCTCGGGCTTAATTGACTGATATACTCTAGTCAGAAGCGTTTGTTTGGCCATTTGGCCATAATGGAAATTCTTTCTCTGTTGAACTTGGTGAATTTATCTTGCCACATATACAGTTACCGAAAAATGAGTGAGCCAGATACATAGTTATGGCTTCAAAAAAGAAAAGAAGCTCGAGAATAGAACAGATAACTCCATTCCTTTTTTTCATCTCCATATGCAGTCAGGGTAGACATGGAGAAACTGGTAGATACAGATATTTCAAAAGTCACAAATACAGAGGATTAAGATCCTCAAGATGACCTGGAGAAAAGTCCCATTATGGAGGACATTCAAGCCAAGAATACTTGATATTATGTAATTGAGACTCAAAACATGCTTTCAAGTTGGAGATCCATGCAGGAAATTAGAAGAGACTTTATGGCACTAGTATCGAAGGTCAAGATCAACGACGACAAGATTGAAGCATTAGTTTATCAACTTGCTCAACAACAAGACTCTGAAAGAGACTTTAAAAAGAAAGTTATAGAAGTGTGATAAAAGCTAGCTGACTCAGAGGATAGCTCAAGATATCACAATCTGAGACTCAGAAATATATCAGAACAAATACCACATGGTAAATTGGAAGACTTTGTACTTGGGTTCTTCAGTTGGACTCCCAACACCATCCTCTCTAGAGCACTGTCATAGAAAAATGAGCCCTTCAGATCTTCTGGATAGTTTACCGAGGGATGTTATAAGATGCTGACCTTCATATCAAATCAAGGAACGAGTTTCAAAACTCTACAGAGAGTGCACATTAGAAGTACCCTTCAACAAGATAAAAATGTTTTCTGACCGATTTTTCTCTTCTCACTAAGCTCTTAAGAGATAATAATTTTCAAAATAAATGGGGCTTTCCTGTTAATATTTTGGTATCTTATGACTCAAGAATGTTGACATCTGCTAATGCGGATTAAGGAGAAAAGTCTTGGTGCAGGATGGCTCGGTGCTTACTCTATTCTAAATATTTCATTGGCTCTGTGTATTCTATTCCCTGCAGGGCGTATAGTGCTAAGAGACTGCACTTCACCTAGTATAGAAGCAGTTTGCGTGGTTTGTGTAGGTGGCAATTTAGGTCAGGCCCTTTTTTATTTTCTCCCCTCTTAATCTGATTACACATATTGCACTTAATATAATGAATGGCTTTATTTAGTGTAGAAATGTTTTGATGTGTCACTTCGAATTGATATGTTAGAAAATGTAGATGATATATTTTGTTATTACGCAATTTGGAATGTGATTTGATTGGGCATAATGACTCCCTCAAATAAGGCTCATGTTTGTTCTTCACTTTGACTTTATTTTAATATTCTATATTATTACTTTATTTTTTTGCACTTATTATACTTAATATTATGATGTGCTTAATTGAAATGTTTTGATATGTCAATTGTCACAACATAATTGAAGGAAAACGTCAATTTTTTACTAGAATGAGAAGTTAGGTTTATATATGGAGTGATTTGGATTTTGTATTCACTTCCATAAGCCTTTTTCTTTTCTTTTTTTTAAAAATGTATTTATTTTCCCTCTTTCGCTTCTGGTTTGTTGGTAATGCCAAATGACCTGAAATTAATGGGTGCTATATTAAGAAATTTACCTCTACACCTAGAAACTTGTTATGATTCAGTTGCAATACCTTAGTGGTTATGGGTAGGCATGGAAGTATTTCACAAATACTCCAATAGGGATTGTGATCTCAATATGTTATTATTTTTTACATCTGTATGCTTTTGCCTTCCCAGCTGAGTTAGGAAAAATGCACCCACTGGGTGCACAAAATTATAGGAATAGGAGGCTATTGACTTACCCTTGGTAAAGTAGATTAATTAGTCTCTTAAAGGGACACTATAGGCACCCAGACCACTTCAGCTCATTGAAGTGGTCTGGATGTATATTCCCAGGTCCCCTGGTACTCCTGGCTCCATAATCACGTGAACATGCGGCCATTATGGTACATGGAATTTTCCTTTAATAAATCGAGCTGAAAAAAAAAATCTGAGAAAATAAAAACCGCACACAACTGGCTGTGACAGATGATAAATATCCACCATTGTCGTAGTCAAGTCACAGGAACCTACTCACAATTAATTGTTTGCTTTAATAGCACTGCCTTTCTCAATACAGTGGAAACCACTTTAACAAAGGGAAGAGCATAATGAAAGTGCTTTGATCAATTTATATTTGTACATATTAGATTACAATTGAAGTATAGATTTCTTTCGTTCGTACCCCTAAGCTAAATCCATGAACTTCATATGAGTCCCTCTCATAAAAGGTTAAAAACCATGACCTGTATGCTACTTATAGTCTTCTGTCTTTCAATCCATTTATCACTGATTTAAAACCCTCTCCCAACCTGTCTGAACACATATTTTCATACCGGAGAAAAATGTGGACGACTTAGATTTTAATTATTTATGTTTAATTGAAATTCTATCCTGTCTAACCTGTCTAACCTGTGATACAAGAACACTACGGAGTGTAGTAAGGTTACATATTTATGAAATAGAGAAAATAAACACGAACAGTTATCACAAGTGTGGTATGACTATATACATAGAAAGGCAGACCTATTGTTTCAGAGGGGTTTAATTTGTGCACGCTTATGGTACACAGGTCATTGCTAAGTTTGAAAAATACTATTAGACTAATAGACTAAAAACTAAATGTGAGCAGTCCTCCCAAAGCCACATCGTTAACCACCTGCAATAGTCATGTACCTAGAATTTTCGGTTAATGGGATGGGCCTGCTAATTCCTTTCTTTAATGATTTGAACCTGGCTTTAAATTGACTTGCATTTTGACGGCCAAAAGATCCACTTTTTAGATTTGGTCATCTATAAGGAGAATTCCAAAGTCTGCACAGCTATATGCTCCAAACCTATGGACTGCAATTGTCTGACATTTCAGGAGTCTCAACCCAGAAAAGACTGAGATCACTTCCCCATAGTCAACTCACCCATGACTAACCCTAATGCCGCTTTAGATTACACAAGACTGGATAAAATAATTGAAAAATTAGGCTTAGGGGGTTACCCCCTACCCTCCTCCTTGAGGAGGGGAATAGAGTATCTACGCTTGATAGAAAGGACGTCCTGAAACCTAAAGTTGTGAGGCCCTAGAAAACTAAAAGGATCCAATTTGTCACTACTTATAGCCCCATTAACTGGGTGAGAACCATTCTAGGTAAATATTGGAAGATTCTTAGCAGTACGTAGAATGCAATTGGGATTTAGATATTGTAGTCTATCAGTATCAGCACCTACAGACCTTAATAAAAGTATCAAACACCCTAGTGAAGGTAGATATTGGCACTCTGAGGAACAAGAGACAAACTTTCTTGCCTTCCCAAAAATGTGCTCCTTTCTCCTATTTCACTTGTGGGTCCTGCAATAGTGTCATAAAGAGTGACACAATTTCTCATAGTATCTGCTGGTTGAGACTGGAGATGTACTGGGCTGTTCCTGATCTCAAGGTATTCGCACTACTAGGCTATGGCTAGAACAGATACTAATGACTTAAACTTACTATACAGGGTATATGGTCAGTTTAAGGGGTGACGAATATCAATTTGAAGAAATAAGTCTGCTTTTTTTTTTTTATTTATTTCTTCTAACTAGTTTTTTTTTTTTTTTCATCCTGCATGTAGCTACCATTTTTTTTTCTTCCAATTTTGACTTCCTGCTCACTCATTGTTGTGGTCACCTTTGCATGCTGCAGGAACACAGTTCTATATAAAATATAACAAAACATATCACATGCATGTTGCACTGTTCTCTCATACAGGATGCGTCCTTATGGTCAGAAATAAACAGGTATGATTAAAGGGGAATGCACTTGGCCAGGGTCTTTATAACTGCTGGTTCTGTATCTTCTATGTATGTAATAAGTGGTCATTCATTTTACCCCTTTTTCTAATGTGATTTCAGAATTCATGGTTTGTAGGTCAATGGACGCATCAAGGCTCCCCATTTAAATACAAGCATTTCAATCTTTGTAAATAGGCATTTTTTTTTTTTTTCCATTATTTAACAGTAATATAAATTGGCAGACGGAAACCTATTGGGATATGCACATCACATTATTTGCTTATATTCAAACAATCTACGATGTCTTGAGTTATAGTTGGTTCTCGTTGTGAAAATCTTCTTCTACATTGATTTTTTAAGGAAATCCACAAGCAAATGATGAGGGAATCCAAAATCCATTTGGACTATCAAATAACCCTACGTAAAAAAATACAAATCGTAAATGAGCAGAACGTCTCTATTACCAGTTCTAGCCATGCATTATGACACATTCTCGTGGATCTCTAGATTAAAAGCTATTTTGCGCAGGGTCCTCATCAACCAATGGCCCCTTTAATCTCATTGTCACAATTACGTCTTTATAATATTGTAAAGCTCTGCGGAATAAGTTGGCGCTATATTATACGTTATAATTATTGGTATTTATAATGTAGCAAATTTAGCACACTAGGCCCCTGGCATATTCTAAAAGTGAGCACTCCGTATAATGAGATACCACTGATCTAATTTGCTGACTGTAAGTGGGTCAGGTATTGACATAACTGAGGCATATCTAACTCAGAGAGTGCAATCTCAGATTTGTAACTGATTTTATGGAGTTTCCTGCACTGCCCCCTAGAGATCAGGCAATTAACCATTAAATTCACAGCACTAGGATGCACATCTATCAAATCCACAGGTATGTTTTGTTTTTATATATACTTTAGTTTTTTTTTTCCCATTTTGTTACACGGCATTCTAAGCAATAAATAATTCCAAATAAAGTACAACAGACTTCCAATTATGTAGGGAATACTGTGGAATCAAAGCTGGTTGTATGTTGCCTTTAAAGGGACACTATTGTCACCAAACCAACTATAGGTTAATGAAGTCGGTTTTGTGTATAGATCATGCCCCTGCAGTTTCACTGTTCAATTCTCCGCCATTTAGGAGTTAAATTCCTTTGTTTCTGTTTTTGCAGCCCTAGCCATGCCTTTATTGGTTGTGACCGACACAGCCTGCATTAAATAAATTGCTTAATGTTCAATAGGATGTTAACTTGCTTTAGAGGTAGTTATCGCCTTCTCCGTAAATTGAACTTTAAGAACACACAAGAGGCTCCTGCAATGTCTAGAAAGCTATTAACAGAGCCGGAGACAATAAATTCTAACTTAAACATAATGTGCAATAAAGGAAGTATAAACATTAGATCTCAATTTACAGGAAGTGTTTAGGAAGACTGTGCAAGGCACATGCAAGGAGGTGTGACAATGACTGTATGAACAAAGTGATTTAACTCCTAACTGGAAGAGAATTGAGCAGAGAGGACTGCAGGGGCATGATCTATACACCAAAACTGTTTCATTAAGATAAAGTTGTTGTGGTGCAGTTTCCTTTTAATTTCCCATGTCTGCCATAGTAAACTTTGAATTCTTTTGTAGTCTGTTAACTCTTCCATGTTAATCTACTTGTATCAGTCAATGGTAACTAAATAAATAAATATTGTAAGCTGGCAATGGGAACCAGAACAAATGCTTATTTACCCCGTTATAAGCACAGCCCTACGCATGGGGGTAAATTCAGCATCACAGAAAGCCAAATGTAAAAATGAAAAAAATACATCACCTGATATGGTATTATCTCCGGATTTATAATCTCAAACAAATAGAGCCCTTTACTGTTCATTAGAGACGTCAAGGCTGGCTCCAATCCTGAAAGGAAAAAAAACTATTTTAATAAATCCAAAAAAATTGTTTCCACTGAATCTAAATAGAGAGCCTAAAAAATATGTGAATACACACCCTAAACTAGTGCTATTTGTGTAAAATTTAATGTAGACAGCTCTTAAAGTGGAAACGTCTTGCAGAAACTTCTTCCCATACTATTGTAGGGTAGAGAATTGAAAACGGTTTTTCAATATTTTTCTATCTGCCGTCATCCATTGGAAGTTATTTAAAGCAATTGTCCAGTTTTCAAAATAGACAACTGGAGTCTCCATATCTAATGCTAAGCAAGGCAGGTCCTCTGATTACTCTGCATCAGGTGCCTTCATAGTAAAAGAGGCACTGGAGCTTACATAGTGCGGGTACAAGCTCACATTGCATGCAGTATCACCCACATTGAATACAGCACTTGTGTGGCACCCACATAACATGCACAGTGTACATAATGCCTATATCACATGCATAATCCATAATAATGCATATAGAACTCAAAATGGCAATTGTAGTAAATACAGCATCAATACAACACATCTAGCAACAATAACAAACATACATTAAAACAACACTCCACTACCCAAATTCAAAATAAGTTTAAAACTCACTATTTAGTAAATATAACCCCAATGAAAACATGCAGGCATTTAATCGTGCATTTTTTTCCATTAGGGTTATATCTAAAAACAGCTTGCAAAACATGCAGATCTCTTATATGTAGACTTTACAAGCCCTCCCCCCTCTTCTAAACCTGCCCAGACTTCCCAATACAACTCAAAGAGAAGTCTTTACAAGGTAGGTGTTCTGGGCAATTGCTGCCTCTTGAGTTTAGCTCCACTGAGCTAACCAAACCAGGAAGTAACAGGACTGACTGTCTGATTGACAGCCAGAGTCTTCACGCATAAGACTATTGTGCATTAGGTGTCTAAAGTACTCTTTTAAATACCTGTTGTTTCTGAAGTGCAGAGATCTTTATGCTCCCTATATCTATAGTTCCCATTTGGCTATGCGGCATGATCAGTGTGAGTGATCTGTAACGCAGGTGAAAGCAGCACGTTTAGAAGAACATTGTACCGTCTGAAATACAAATCTGTATTTTGATTGCTGCAGTGTCATTACCATTTCTCTGCCTCCCGCAACGTCATCTGGCTCTAGAGCCAATGGCCAATCTAATGCTCCTCTTAGAGGAACATCGGGAACTGGTGTGCATGCGCAACAAGTACTGTGCATGCGCAACAAGTACTGTGCACGCTTCCAAATGCTTCTCATATGGAAACCATTAAATCTAATCATTTCCTATAAGCTGAAACCTCACGTGACTAAGTATTACTCAGTCATTGTAGAGAAAGCGTCTCTGGTGATTGTCAGTATGAAAGCCATTAAAAGTGTGTTTATCCCTGCAATGCAAACGTTACAGTTTCTATAAAGCTACAGTTTTCTTTAACCCTCTAATGTAAACATAACATTACTACAATATTTTACTTTGCAGGGTTAAAATAACAGGATCATTGGTATGAAGTGGTCTGAGTGCATTTAGTGGCCGTATTAAGCAGTAGGCAAGTATACATTGTACTGTGTGCATGGAGCATTTGACATCTATTATTTGAATGATAGAAAGGAGTATAGGTAATGTAGTGTGAGCCATTTCGCCAGGAGCAATTTCTAGGCGCTATGATAACCTGACCCCTATCAAGCCGTGATGTTAAGATTTATAGAACATGACCACGCTGTACAGTTGAAATTACACGGTTAGTATTTAATCAAACAAGCTTGATAAAAGGTACAGTAAATACAGACAGTGCAAACTTGCGTGTGAATTAGTCGATATTTGACTAACTGATATAGCTAAGACGATGGACAAGTGAAAATTATGTCCCCAGTGATCCGTACATAAGGAGCTTGTGTTTGTGTATAATATTTCTGTTAGTGTTAATAATTCGCGTTTGATAAAAAAAGGGAAGCGTTCGTGAAAATAGATGCACATAGTCCTCCTGCATTACTATGTCTCTACGTGGCACATTTATCATTATTGGGTTTGATCATTCAACACGTTCTGTTAATAAGTTACCTGCAGAAGGAACTTACGTTCTATAACTGTTGGGATCCCAAACTTTGATACGATTTTATTGAGAAACTGGTTCAAGGCCGCCTCCTTCTGATCCTCTTCCTGAAAAAAGAAATCCAGTATTTATCTGTTTCCTTGTACTTTTACTTGTAATTATGTGCCTTCAAATTTCACCAAGTTTCCCGTATACCCACCGTAGATATCTGTAAGGAGCTAATGACATTTTTGATGTGAACTCTGTGGAAAAGAGAGACATACTTGTAAGAACATTTCTACCCTCTCTGTGCCCACTAAACCATAAAAAGAATGTAGCATGTTTGATGTTAACTTACACATAATCCACAAGGTGTAATCTTAGTTTTTTATTTGCATAAGAAGCTTGGATTGTAGTGATGACGTCCTGTAATACAATGCAAGTGCATGAAGTAAACATGACAAACCTTCACCGACAGACATAACTTAAAAATAATAAAATATTGGACGGGGCCCACTTGTTGCTCCTTTCCATTAGCCCATCTGACTGCGCCTATACAAAAACGCCTGCATTTTTAACACTCATTTTAGACGTGAGATCAGTACTGTTATGTTTATAAATGTGAATACTTTACAATAAGTGTTTTTTAATATTTTATTAGACTATGTTTTTCTATAATACATATCAGTCACAAAATGGTAGAATGAAAAAGAGATGTTAGATCTTCAGGAACATACACTGTGTTATATCTCATGACATAAACTGTTACTTTCCATGATATTGGAGTAAGAGTATGTGGAATTTTTAGTCGTTCTAAACTTTGAGATTAACAAAGTGTGTTGTAACCCTTACCACTTACAGTTTCAAAATATAACTTGGGTTTTTCATCCAAAGAGGTGGACAGCTGGACAGCTACAGATGATGTGACCAGAGTTCCTTTTGGGGTGATTCTAATTTCAGGAGGTGTTAAGCTCCACACCTTTGTTAGAGAACTGTTGCTTGATGCTTCGTGGAAGATCTGAGATGACCAGCAAAACACTTGTGAGCTAACAGAATACACCGGTCTAAGTCACACTTTGTATCGTACAAGGAAAAGAACCTATGTGACTGTGATTTTGTCATTTTTTTAAAATCCATATTCCTCACCCCCACCCCCATTATTAGAGAGTTAAATGTGCTTTAAAAAGGCACCATAATCACTATTGCTTGCTTTGGTAGTTATGGCACCAGGAATGGTTTGGTGCCCCCTTCCCAAACAGTTTTAGAATGATTTTAATTCTTAGCTGGGGTCCTCTCAGCGCTGCTCCCCCCCCTCCCCTTCCCCATCCACTACTAATGGATAACTGAAAGCTCCTAAGCTGGAGCTTCTGTTAGCTCTTAGCTATACCCTGCAGTGCAGAGCTTCTGTAATTGGCTGAGAGCATCAGCTATTTGTTCGCAGCCAAAGAGCCAAGCCCTGCTTGTCTTAGCTCAGACACGTAACTTCCAGCTCTCCGTCGAAATTAGCATGTACAGGAAGCAGTGCCGGGTGCACCCCAGGTGAGAAGTCAAACCCCTCTAACACAGTTTCACTAGTTACAGTGGGGTACTCAGTGAGCTGTAGTGGTTATGGTACATAGGGTGCTTCTTTAAGGCAGGGCTTAACAATTTTAGAAACCAGGCTACATTCATTATAGGTTTAGGAATCATGTGACCCATCTTATTTTACTAGTAATTAACAAACTCCTAAAAGAACCTTATAGTGTTGGAATTCAGTTTTGTATTTCTGACGCTCCAGTGCCCCTGTCCCTATTTGTATAAAGGTGTCCTTTCCCTCTCCTATCATGTTTTCCTAAGGGCTTCTGCGTCACGAGGTTTACTAGGTCAGTGCAATAGATGGTCCTCTAGTGGCTGTCACTATGAAAGACACGAGAGGTGAATTTAACCCTATATTGCAGGGATAAAAGGATAGGGTCACTACACCCAGACCACTTCAATGAGATTAAGTGGTCTGGGTGACTAAAGTGTCCCTTTAAGTAAACCATTCATAGGCTACTAAAACAAGACAACCCACCCCCAAAAAAGATAGAACATACGTAGGTATATATATATATATATATATATATATATATGGCTACCAGACTTCTAACTTTGTCAAGCCCTTAGATGTAATGGATGCTCCTTTCCCAACCCTCGATAATGATCTTTCTTGTAATATTTGATTACACTTTGAGAGATCGTTAACTCTAGTCTTAACTATATAGAAGGGAGTGGTGCATGGACAGCCTCCCGGAACAGTCTGCAGAAGTTGTAATAATAAAAGAACCCTGCAGGGGCCAGTAATATGACATTCACAGCAAGCTATCTTTAACGGAGAAATACTTAAAAATACTTGTGGTTTATTTAGTGAACTGTGATGTTTGGAATTTTTTAGATCACTATAGGTACATTTGCAAAATTCAGCTATTTATAAAGGTGGATATAAAAATATAAAATTTTATATAGGGTAACCCATAATTATTTGCAAGCCGTGAAATTATCTTATGTTTCGCCCTGGAGGGGATTAATGATTGTTAATAAATTGTAAGCTATAACAAGCAGGACTTGCGGTGTCTATTTGCTTAAAATAAGCCATAATTTCTTGTAGATTCGCTTTTGTCTTTCTTTCAAAGGTCCGCCGGCCCCACCCTCAAGGTTATATGTCCCGATTAATGGTTCATGGAAGAAGAGATAGGGAGGTTCTCACCATGTTCCTTTTCAGCGATCTATATCTCCTGGTTGTTCTATTAGATGCAAGTATCGCTGATGCATAGATTAACTCACTCTCTATGCCAGGGATAGACAACCTTCTGCACTCCAGATGTTTTGGACTACATCTCCCATAATTCTCTTACACCCATAATGCTGGCAAAGCATCGTGGGAGGTGTAGTCCAAAACATCTGGAGTGCCGAAGGTTGCCTATGCCTGCTCTATACTATGGGTATCTGAGAATGGAAGCGCTACCCTTTGCCTAATTTACCAAACATTGGCACTTACACAAGACATTTCTATAATCACATACATCTTTTCATTCTATATACTTTCAGTGAAGTTTCAACTCAGTCTTTACATTTTTTTTGTAAACATTTTATCTTAATGAAAAACTCAAACAATCACAACACTTATCATAAATGTCTAAAATAAGCCTTTTTTTCCCCTTCCGTGACATTATAGAGCACTGTAAGAACTACGTTGACACTTAACAATGTCGGCATAATAATAAATTTATAATTAACAACACAGCATTAATTATATATTGCTCTTTGAATACTGTGCTAATGTTTCCTTTGACAATATACTCAATAGCGGAATGATCTGTGACCTTAATGAATCATTTTTACACGACAGATGTCTATGAATTACATAGAGTTTATCCAGCCCATAGGTTAATATTTGAAAACCTTGCTTGAATGTAGGGCAATTAATGGTCCTTTGATTATCAATAGGATTCTTGAAAACTCAGCAAGCTTTTATTATACAATTCGTTTCCTAAAGTCATTTTACCAATTTACAGGGTTATTTACTAAAGTGAGATTTGTCAGGATTTAAAGTTAGGTTGGCTACATGATTAAAGGGACACTATAGTCACCAGAACAACTACAGTTTAATGTAGTTGTTCTGGTGAGTATGGTCAGTCCCTGCAGGCTTTTTGCTGTAAAATCTGCCTTTTCAGACAAAAAGCAGCATGTCTATATTACAGCCTAGGGATAACTCCACTGGCCACTCCTCACATGGCTTACTAGAGGTGCTTCCACGGTCAGTGCTGCACAGTGTGCAGTACTGACATTCTGCGTCTCCTGCTGAACTTTTCTATAGAGATGCTGATTGGCCAGAGATGCATTTGGCTCCGCCCCCGTCCCTCCTCCTTGGCTGAGATCATCAGAATTGACCATTTCAGCCAATACGATGCTCTCCTATGGTGTTTTTAACACTATAAGGTCAGCAAAACATGTTTGTGTTCTTGACCCTATAGTGTTCTTTTAAGGCTTGATGCCAAAAATGCTGTATATCATTTTGATCTCCTGATCCTGAGTAAAACTCCTTCTGTTTTGCACTACACTCTGTTAAACCTTTGGAATTTGATTTAGGATTCAAAGTGAGTTCGAAGAGAATTTCAAATGTAAGGTCAAAACAACATTAACTGGAAAAATTCTCCAATTCACCTGTGCTTCCAGTTCGGCTCCTATGACCTTAAATTTGAAATTCACTTTGGATTTCTGACAGTTCTCACGTTGGTAAATAGCCCTAGTCTTCCTGAAGATTATGATGTTAGGATCTTTTTTGTTGTAGCACATCTGTGAAATCGAGTTCCTTATATTGAAAACAATGTTGCACTAGGTGATGTGTTAGTCCATAGAAGACCCAAATATTTTAAGGCACAGGGCTTCAATCAGATACACAGGAATTTTTCAATAGATATCCAAAGATGGTGAATTGGAAACTGAATTGCAAAATCTCGTCAAAAGTTGTTGTTTTGGAAGAATTCACCAACATAGCGATAGTCACAGTTTGACTATGTTAGCCTGAATTAAGTTCACAATGTAGCGATTAATGTGATCAATATAGCTGTTAACATTTTATTTGTTACCTCTTGTAGGATTTCCTGGTTAGATTCTATATCATCTTTCAAGATTTCCTGAAATAAGCAGACACCAGACACCATTAGTCACATATTACTCAATTATAGATCGAATCCCAATCATAGGCAAGATATATTTTATGAGTTTTATTTTGGTTTATATTCAGACAGTTTTTTTAGTCTGGCAATGTACTCAGAGCTCCATAATTACTACACCCCGCTGTGGCACTCTTCTCCCTGGTTCAGAGGCAGGGCCGGCACAACCTTTTGGTGAACTAGGCATTCACCTAGGGTGCCGGCCTGCTGGGTGTGCCCACTGGGATGATTCCTGGTGGGCTGCCTACCCCTGTCTGGGGCCGCAGCGCGGGGCGAGCGGCTCTTGAGCCAACGCCGGGCCGTTCCTCATGGCACCCGAAGGTGGGGGCGTCGAGAAGATCCCTGTCACGGGGAGCCAGTAGATGGCTATCTGTCCACCCCAGGGTGCCCCCAATGCAGCGCTAGGTAAAGCAGGGCAGGCACCTGCTTACCTTGATGGCAGGTGCCTGCTCTGCCAACAAATGCTGGTGACCTGAGGAGGGGGAGAAGGCAGGCGGCGAAGAAGGCTGTTCTTGCAGCCTCTCGCTCCTCCCTCACGCGCCCTCTGTGATGCCAGGAGCCGGAATATAATGTCATTCCGCCCCAACATTCTAAAGTGCGCGCTCAAGTAGTGAGGAGCTGCCCCACACTGGACCCCACAGAGGTAGAGAGGCTGGATGGGCCTCAAAAAAATGTAATTGTGTGTGTGTGTGTGTGTCGTTTCTGTCAGTGTATATGTGTGCCTGTCAGTGAGTGTCTGCTTGTGTGTGTCTGTCAGTGAGTGAGTGTATGTATGTTAGTGTCTGCCTGTGTGTGTGCGCCTGTCAGTGAGTCTGCCTGTCTGTGTCTGTCATTGAGTGAGTGTATGTCTGTCAGTGAGTGTGTCTGTCAGTGAGTGTGTGTGTGTGTGTGTCTGCCAGTGTGTGACTGTGAGTGAGTGCCTAGGGTGGCAGAAATCCTTGCACCGGCCCTGTCAGAGGGATGCTTCTCCCCACCTTATGCAAGAAAGCTAGATGCTCTCTAACAGTAGTAGTAGAGGTAAGGAGCGGCACCTGGTGGATCACAGGTAGGAAGTCCAACAATTCTAATGTGATTTTACTACTTATAATGAGGTGGGGTCAGTCTTGCCTATATATAATATCAGCTGGTCGTTTTACACAATATGCAGTAACATTTCAGCATCCTACCTGTGCAAAGATCTCCAAAACATACAAAATGTAAGCAGTTTTGTTCTGTACTTGTCCCTGATGTTAGTGCACCATCCATAGGTAACATTAAGAATGTTTTTTTTAAATGAAGGCTGTTTTGTAATGACTTTTCTATGAGTATAATGTATTGGAACTTAAAGGAGTGATGGAGAAACAGTCACCTGACTCTGTCCAGTCTAAGATCTAGATATTTGGGCAGCTTTGTGGAATATGGTTTCTTCCTGGAAGTACTAGATCAATGAACAGAATAGTAAATAGTTTGTGTTGATAACATTGGGTGTTCCATTAAGATGATGATTTGACCCCATCGTGTGAGTGACAGCTCAGATTTTCTCCAGAAAAATATTTACGTGAATCGTGCCAATTTTTGCTGCATTATTAACATTTTGGTTGACTTCTGGTTTAACTCCTAAGCATTTTAATTGGACCGCCAACGCAGTTATTCTGAGACATTCTAAACACCGAAACTATTACAGCTTAGTGCAGTGGTTAAGGTGCAAGGAGTCTTTGGGATCCCACGCCATCATGTTGGTTTTTTTAAAACCGTTTTTACGTGGTTTGACGCTTCCTCGATTTCTGCACAAATCATTTGATGGGCTTGGGTTAATTTGGCAATCCATCCCTGCATCATTGCAATATACTGTCAATCTCAAAAAGTCAATTTTAGTAACTTCAATTTACATTGTATTCAGTAGATGGCAGCAGAGTATATAACCAGATACAAATTTGGGAGTTCATCGTATGGATATAGGAAGTGGTTTTGGAATTTGTTTTAAAAAAATAAAGGTGAAGGTAAAAGTGACAATTAAACTTATTTATATAGTGCCAACATATTCCGCAGTGCTGGACAAAAGGTAAAATAAGACAATATTGATTCTAAAATAACATGTTTGACATATGTGACCTGTAAGTGAAGAGGCCAAACGAGCTTAGAGTCAACAAGGATGAGGGACAAATAGACAGACGGAAGGGAGGGAATAAAATTATCTGGATATAAATGAAAGGATGGGATGGTTGCTTGGGAGGAAGGAGTGCAATGGAAGATTATCATGGATGGGGGAGGTTAAGGGACAAGAAGTGTTTATTTAGGTATTTATTTAAAGGACTGCAGAGATGGGGAGAGTCATATGTGGCATTGGAGGGCATTTCATAAGGAAGGGACAACCCTGGAGAAGTCTTACAGACGAACGTCTGGAGTGCAGATATGAGAACGGGACAGTAACAACTAACAAGATGGCGGAGCAAACTGGAGCAGGATGGAACATATCTGCTAAAGAGGAAGAGAGATGAGCAAAGACTTGGTTATGGAGAGCTCTGTAAGTAAGTAGTAGAACTTTGAACCAAATCTCAAGTGAAACAGGAAGGTCAGTGTAGAGACTGGTTGAGTGGCGAGGTCTGAAAGTTGCCCGATATAAGGTAGATGAGTCTGGCAGTGGTGTTAATTATGGTCTGCAGAGGGGCAATCTGGACACTTTTCAGATCAACCGGCAAAAGTTTACAATAATCAAGGTGGGAAACAATGAAAGCATGGACAAGCATCTTTTGAGTTAGAAAGGGGTGAACACAAGACTGTTTTTAAGGTAAAAGCAACAGGATTTGGTGATAGATTTTATGTAATGGGTGAAGGAAAGCTTAGAGTCAAAGATCATACCAAGACAACGTGCCTGCATAGTGAAGGTTATGATAGTTCTGTTGACCTAAAGGGAAAGAGGGGCAGATGTAGAGGGATGAAAGACAAGGAGTTCAGTATTGATGAGGTTGAGGTTTAGGAATTGTGAAGTCATCTAGTCAGAGACAGGAAATAGGCAGACGGTGACATTAATCAGTAGATAGGGAAAAAGATCAAGCAGGAGAGGTAAATCTGGGTATCAACGTATGGGTAATATTGAAAGCCATAGGATATCAAGTCATCAAGAGATTGTGTAAATTGAGAAAAGAAAAGGTATCTCCACAAAGCTTTGAGAAACTCCAACTGAGAGAAGTACAGATGGGGACAAGGACCAGAGGAGGAGACACTGAAGGATCAGTTAGAGAGTTAGGAAGAGAACCAGGAAAAAGCGCTGTCGCCAAGGACTCCAAGAGTGAGCAGGAGAAGCAGCTGGTCAACAGTGTCAAAACTGGCAGAAAGATCAAGAACAACAAGTGGGGAGTAACAACTTTTGGATTTGTTACACAAATAGTAAATCCAATAAGGAAGGCACAGGGGTGTCAAACATGTGGCCCCCCAGATGTTGCTCAACTACAACTCCCATGATTCCCTGGCTATCTGTTTCATTGAAAGAATCATGGGAGTTGTAGTTCAGCAACATCTGGGGGGCCGCATGTTTGACAACCCTGTATGATGTAAGCACATGCTCAGGGTCAACTCTTGCAACCCTGTAGAGGGTATACACCAAGTTTAACATTATTCTGTTAATGGACTACAATGATAGGCTGGGAGTGTTGTGCTAGACAGCTGGGCAAAATCTAAGGAGGACTATATCCAAAGACTCCTTGCACAAGAATGGTTAGTGACTGGTGGTCCAATTGACTTTGAAAGTACTTATTTCTTGGGTTTATATTCTAGATCTTATCTCTAAATCTCAGCTTTAATAAGAAAACTAGGGTCTTAGTTGAAACTTTTGACATTTTCAAATATTGAACTTTTGATTGATCATCAAAGTGCCTCTTTTTTTTTCCTTTACACCTTTCATAGGAGCCACAAAATCGCCATAGACCCTTCCTGTTAACTAATTCATGGCAGCACTGTGTTAGTAGACCCAATATTTGCAGGTTAGACATCTGGGCCAACTGAAGTTTAAGGTTTTATTACCTTTAGTTCATGTCCTGTGAGCAGAAGTACAAACCGCTGATCCAGAAAAGCAGCCAAGGCTAAGGAGTTCAGCACGTCTTCAGAGAACCAAAAGTATAGCATCCGGTCTTCCGTTAACAGTGAAGGGGAGAACACGGAGTTGTTAAAGTGAACTGTGGTGTTTTTATAGACTAGTAGACCCTGAAGAAAAGAGGGAACATACGGTATATACTACTAAGTAATTGACAGAAGTTATGTAAATTACACTTACTGTTGCTCTCTGATTTTTGTAATAGATCCGTAATGCTTCTATCTGTGGCTTCCTATTTTTTAATGGATCTAATTATCAGAACATTTAAAAGGCCTTAAAGGGACACTATGGACACCACTACAAAATTGAATGCATTTGATATATTTTGGCTTGATTAACATGCTGTATTTGTTTGCACACTAAAATCGTTATAGTTTTTTGCACAATAATATAAATGTTTTGCAGAATGCTGCACTGTAAGCCTGCCTCCTCACTCCAGAAAGACTTTCTTATCAAGTGTGTATACACCGTTCCAACAGCACTGAGTGAGCTGTTTTTAATTCACAGCCTGGCTGCAGACAGTCAGAGAAACTACAAACAGGTAGTGAGATCCTTACTATATGTCTCCCTGGGTCTAATGCAGGTGGCTTTGTAGTTCAGATCACTTAGTACTGTCAATGGCTGAGCTGTGTACATACTTTTTATAAGGTATAGCAAAGTATTTTTTCTGGAGTGAGGGTATGTGGCTAAAGAGTCAGGCTTATGGTGCAGCATATTTATTTTATGCAAAAACTACAAATATTTGCACATGGAAAAAAATGCAGCATATTAATATGGCCAAAACCTATTTAACTCATTAAAGTACTATCAAAGTGTCTCTTTAATATCAAGATAAAATTTAAGAAGTTGAGTGCTGAAATATTCTAAAAATAGTATTTAAAATTGCACCGTAAGTGGCTATTGTGTCCCCACAAGTCGCTCACCTCCCAACATTTCACATGGACAAAGAGGGACACTTTCATTTTAGGGGTGTGAGTGGGGCAATGGTGTCTTACTAATAACTAAAATGTAATTTAGAGCAACGTATCTTATTTACACAGATTGATTTCCAAACACATTTATTGTAGTTTAAAGACACATTACTCTGAGTATTATAACTGTGGAGCTCTATTATACACTCAGACACCAACAATATGGAGCTCCTAGAAAATAGGGACATTAGGATGGAAAAGAGGGACAGAGGGATTTGGGACCAAAAATATTTAGGTTTCCCTGTACATGTATACATCATGCAGCATTTATTTTGATGTTTCAGTGAATTCTCTGTAGACACATTTGTTTTTAGGCCTCCGTTGGACTGCTCTGGAATTCCACCTCCCCCCACCACTGACCTTGTGATGGGTTTCCAAGTAATTCGCTTTTGTAACAGGAAAGGATGTTAAATCAATGTTTACTCCTATATCCCCAGAAGTCAAGAAATCCCCTGCAAAGAAATATGAGCAATAAGTAATAAATAAGTACATTCTCCATCAATATCACTTAGCAAAATGATCTTTTCATTTGATACAGCATTTGGGCATATGCAAATAATGTTCAGATTATGGATCTGTAAACTTGTCAAAGTCAAATAAATCCTCCCCCCTGAGGTTATTTGGGATCAAATTATCTGGATTTTGTTTTTGTTTTTGCTTGATAGCTACGTCCTCATGCAGGGCTAGGATTAGAATGGAGTCAATATCATCCTTGGGTACTGGTAGTTAAAGGGACACAATAGTCAACTAAACAGTTTTAGTGCAGCAGTTTTGGTATATAGAACATGCCCCTGAAGCCTCACTGCTAAATTCTCTGCAATTTAGGAGTTAAATCACTTTGTTTATGAACCCTAGTCACACCTCCCTGCACGTGACTTGCACAGCCTTCCTAAACACTTCCCGTAAAGAGTCATCTAAAGTTTATGCTTTCTTTATTGCAAGTTCTATATAATTTGGATTTTCTTATCCCCTTCTATGTTAATAGCTTGCTAGACACTGCAAGAGCCTGCTGTATGTGATTCAAGTTCAATTTACAGAGCAAGAGATAGAATTGTTTAAGGTAAATTACATCTGATTGAAAGTGAAACCAGTTTTTGTTTTCATGCAGGCTGTGTCAATCAGAGCCAGGGGAGGTGTGGCAAGGGCTGCATAAACAGAAACAAAGTGATTTAAAGGACCACTATAGGCACCCAGACCACTTCAGCTTAATGAAGTGGTCTGGGTGCCAGGTCCAGCTAGGTTTAACCCTTTTTTCTATAAACATAGCAGTTTCAGAGAAACTGCTATGTTTACATTAGGGTTAAACCAGCCTCTAGTGCAGGGGTTCTCAACGTTAGTCCTCAGGACCCCCTACCAGTCCAGGGTTTAGGGATTACCTGGGTGTGTCTAAGGTGTTTAGAAAAAAAAACACCTTAGAGTCTAAGGTGTTTTTTCCCCTTTTTCTAAACACCTGAGACACACCCAGGTAATCCCCAAATCCTGGACTGGTAGGGGGTCCTGAGGACTGGGTTGAGAACCCCTGCTCTAGTGGCTGTCTCACTGACAGCCGCTAGAGGCGCTTACGTGCTTCTCACTGTGATTTTCACAGTGAGAAGACGCCAGTGTTTTTAGTGAAGCATTGTGAATGCTTTCCTATGAGACTGGCTGAATGCGCGCGGCTCTTGCTATTGTGTGCTGTAAAATAAGTTTATATATTATATTACAGTTTGTTCACCTTTTACCTTTTGCTTTTAAACAGCTTCCCCATCACCAAAACCTGACCGTTCTAGTGATAACAATGCATGTATGCTAGGGATATAACAATTCACACTTGACTCGGATAGATAAGTGGGGTAGGCAGTGCATGTTTGCTTAAAGCAGGACCGGGCTGGAACAAAGATTCGACTTGGTCATTTCAAAGTCAAGCAGTCCAATGGGAAGGGCAGGGTTGCCATCAGAAATTTTGGGGCTCCTGACCAAGCTGAAGATCTGGGCCCCCAGAGCCCCACTCACAAGTTCGCCCACAATGCTCTTACTGAGTTCACCCACAATGACGCAGGACTGAATGTGCTGTGTGTATAGTGGATGTAGAATTAGAATGTGTCTAATGGATGCAGAGTGCACGTGTAACGGACATGGTGTTTGTGTGTATTAGATACAGTGTGTGCGGTGGGTGCAGAGTGTGTGTAATGAATGCAGAGTGTGTATAGTAGATGCTGTGATAGTGAATGCAGAGAGTGTGTTAGTGTAGTGAATCCAGAGTCTATGTTAATGTAGTGGATGCAGAGTGTGTGTTAGTGTAGTGAATCCAGAGTCTATGTTAATGTAATGGATGCAGAGTGTGTGTTAGTGTAGTGAATCCAGAGTCTATGTTAATGTAGTGGATGCAGAGTGTGTGTTAGTGTAGTGGATGCAGAGTGTGTGTTAGTGTAGTGGATGTTGTCTGTGTTAGTGTAGTGAATTCAGAGTCTGTCAGTGCAGTGGATGCAGAGTGTGTGTTAGTGTAGTGAATTCAGAGTCTGTCGGTGTAGTGGATGCAGTGAGGGGCAATAAACTAGAGATGTCATGGTGTCACCAATGACGAGCACACTTTTTCCTAAAATGATTTTTGGTTTGATGCCTCTCCAGGACAGCCCGTGGGGAAGATGCATTGTGTTTGTGCTGGGTTTACTGGTTAATTGTCTCTGGTCTTCCCATAAGTGGGATACCAAAGGATAAAAGTGGTTGAGAGCTGCTAAAGAGTGTTGTGCATGTGTGAGGAGGCTGCCTGTTGTGCTGTATTTGCATGGAGGCTGCTTGTGGGATTGTGAGTGTGTAGACTGGGCTGTGTGTGGCTACGGGCTGTAGTCTATGTGTGAGTGTGCATGTATAGAAGCTGTAGAGAATATCTCTAGGGGCTAGAAGGTTGCCTTGAGTGTGTGTATTAGAATATGTAGTGTGTGTGTGGGGGGGGGAGAGGAGGGGGGAGGAGGGAGGGGGGTATGGATAGGGGCTGTAATGTCTTTATGTAGGGGATAATGTGTGTGAATAGGGCGTACAGCCAGTGTAGTGTATGTGTATAGGGGGTGTAGTGAGTGTAAATGGATCACTCTATATACGAAAAGCTGAATTTATTAGTGGCACACACAAAAGTGAATAAACAAATTCTGTCAATCAGTGAGGGGCTACATTTGGTTTTGGAGCAACTGCAAATAGCCCAATTAGAGAACAATTCCCTTTATTAATTTTATATTCAAACTGTTATACTAATATACTGCAAGAGCTACAACATTATAATGATAAAATAATAAAGTTACATAATCTAGTTTAATATTGTACATCCTACAACACTCTATACCTGTCCGTCTATAGGAACATACCCCTGCCCCATTTACAGCATTACTAAAAGATTCTCCAGAGACGATAATCAGTTAACCAGTGCTGGTACGAAGTAAATCTCAAAATAAATAGAAAATGAATTTACCTGCTCTGTACTGGATAAAATCTGCAAGTAAATTGGCCACATAGTTTATCTCCTTACAGATCTGTAACATAGAACAATAAGAGTTTAAACAAGAGAGAATCTTGACACTAATGGTTAACATTGGTACTCTGAATAATTTTAAACTATATTACCCAGAATTCTCATCAAGGAAAATATCCATTGCATACATCTGGAGTAGCACAGTTCGCCATCACTGTTTATTTTCTTGAAGTGCGCAACTTAAGCGCAATGTGTATTTTGCATAAAAAATTTGTGATTTCGCTCACCGTGACAATGTAGAGCTCTCACAAATAAAGTGGCCAAGAACACAGCCGCTATTGTAAACATACTAAGAATGGACATATTGCTGTGAATAATACAATATGGCAATACTCACTGGGTACAATGATATAAAAACATGATTCCCTGACAAAATAAGCAGTCACAAGCAAGACTACATAAACTGGGTTATTCACTAATGGACACTATCCTGTGAAAATGGCCAAATTCCAACCACAATTCTCAGATTTACTACAGCCAAATGCGGGAAGTATTCGATTCGGCAGACTGATTCTGTTTTTCTAATAAAATATTTTTTACTTTTTCCAGGTGGTGGAAGGCTAGCCTTGTGCATTTTTTTTTTTTTTTTTAAATCTGGGCTTGGAGTTGCATTCTTTAAATCCTGGATTTGGAACAATTTGTCCAAATTTTAGCTGTTCGGCACAGATCGGCCCAGTTGAAATCCAGACCAAATTTAGACCCTTTCAGGGCCAGAATTACAAAATCCGGACATTGATGAATTCCATGAACAACATCCAGATTTTGCAATCCAAATGGCACCGTATTCAGCCGATGGTTCTGCCCTATTTGGTTCGGGGGCCCATTCGGACTTTAGTGAATAATCCTGATATAATTTGTAAAGGTAGTGAGAACAAAAAACAAATTGGGCCGCTACACTGCCCACAAGGGTAAAGATCACAGTTCTTGATTTATACTGCTGATCTGACATGTAGTAGATTTCCACACAATTTGCACGTTTTTTGGTACTTTTGGAAAAGTTTGCATTGGGAATCTGTGATTTTTGTGAGTATTCTTCCTGTTTTGTGAGAAAGTAATTGCTGTCGTATTTTTCAGGAGGGGAAAAAAAAACAACTAAACTTTAGTACCATTGTAAGTGCAAAGGTAGCCTACTCATAATATTCAATGCATTTTGAAATCGGTTTTAAATAGAGTTGGAAGTTCTGGTTTCAAAACGTATCACAGGAGATATACAAATAGCTTGTTTCTTACCTGACTTTTAAGTACAAGTTTTAAGGTGAAAGAGATGAAATCTGTGAAAAGCTGCCGTAGCCATCCAGGACTGTAGGGGGTGACAATTTTCACGTGTTATTTTTCTTATATTTTAAAGGCAGATTTTTTTCTGGTTTTTAAAACATACAATTATTACAAAACAAAACATAACTCTCCATTGTTGCAATTAAAAGAAAGCTTAATTTGACTCTGTCTATTTAGATTTTTGCGTTAACATATATCAGAACAGTGGCGAGATGGTCATTGTCTGCAGATCCGTCAGATCTTAGTAATGCATTGAGTAAAGTGTTGACGTGGAGGTTTGGGATCTTTACAGGGGTTTAGTGGTTATCTGCCTTTGAGTAATTAGCAGCATCACCCCACATAATGGTAGAGCAATTGATTGGAAAGATCGGACAATTAGTTTTGTTGTAGACTTAGAACCAATGGATAATGCCGTGTCTCTCTAGGAGGATAGAAGCCTTACAATGAGTATATATATTGCTCACAATATGGCGAGAATTTGGAGAGAAATATGAGTGTCGCTGCATGGTATTCAGAGGTGGAGCATATCTCTTTTGTAGCAACAATGGACCGCTCTTTCTCTGGGTGTGGGTGTCTTCAGTGCAGCGGAAGTGGTATGGCTTGAGTGGTGACAGTATAGTAATAGCGACTTATGCCTAATGATGAATGCTGAGACGAGCTGCGGGGCAATACCTGGTGGAATCCAGGTGCAAAGTGAAAGTTTTACGAAATATAACCACTACAGTGCACTGAGTGTTACTTTAATACTGTAAGGAAACCAAGTATATTTAAACCTCATTCGGTAGTTTCCTCCCGAACCGCCAGAGCCTTAGTGATATAGCCCTCCGTTCGGTAGATAGAATAGACGAACCATATAGTAATAGCTTCACAAGACGATTCCCTTAGTGAAACACACGAATCCCCAAACATCAGCCGAAGTCAAGAAGAAGGGTACAAGATGAACTAACTTTTAATGGGTGCACACAGCTTTTATGCAAGTCCCCAAGGGGACAACCCTCAGGGAGGGACAAATATTCACCAATCATATACAGTAAAACTTTAACACACACCTACAGTTCCCTCCCCTAGCCCTGAAGAAGTCTGATAAGATAGTAACTTAATTATCTCCGGGCTGAAAAATCACTTTTTTTCCCCAATAACTGGAACACCCCTTTATACTTGGGGTATCCCCACAAATAATATGTCCCCTGATAGCCCTGATCTGGGTGACCAACATATTCGAATTTCACCCAGATCGGTTCAGGGGTTCGCGAAAACTATGGATGTCTTCTGTGACCGGCTCACCCTGGGCTGTATGCCCAAAACAGTTCCATGAATTTTTTTGTCAGTCACTTTAGAAATAGCAGAAAAAGGAATAAAGTACCGAATGGATCCCTCTGGGTCCTAGCAGCGTTAGTGCCCCTCTGTCGAATACACCAAACTACCGAATAGCGCTCTTCTAGCTATTCGGTAAATAGAGTTCCAGCGTTCATCTGTTTGGGACCGGTGTTCAGGAAGTCGAGTGTCCGTTTTCAGTTCCATACACTCGACGACCAGGTCCCGCTGCCTTTGTTCACATGAACAAAGATGGCCGCGGTTTTCTCTGCCACGTGGCGTTCGTCTGTACGAACGCTGGCCGCACAGACAGAGGTAGCAATTGAACCAGACTTTGATGTTTAACGAGCCAGAGGGGTGGTCTTTGTTCGGTAGTTACAGCTACCGAATGCAATGGGCAGAAATAGTGTAACAAAAGGGAATGCAATGGGTATACATAATACAACAAAAAGGGGATTTCTTCACAAATACATACGCTTGTTTTAGCAGGTCCTTCTTCACCTCTGGTCTCTGGATAGAACGTATGTAATTACTTGTCTAATAACCCCATTTTAGAATTGTAAAGTGCTGCGAAATATGTTGGCGCTTTATAAATGATAATAAAATGAAACAGACACATTTTGGCCTAGCCTGAGTAAGGTAAGTATGACAACAAATAGAATATGTATTTTTTTCACGTAATCCATATATTTTGCTTTTGGCTGGATAAAAGGACTAGATAGAACTGGTCATATCTTACTCTTTGTTTCCGTGAAGATGCAGTTGAAGTTTATGAAACGTCAGATAACAGTCAGATGTGTCTGCAGCAACCCGTCTGTTCGTGCAAGCTGCGGATTACAGAGTCCTTGGGTCAGTGATTCCAAACATGGAAAACATTATTTGCTTCAAAGCTTCTCCAATCTACACATTGCCCCTAGCTATACAACACCAGAGGCTGCACGTCTCTGCAAGGGTATTCAGCTCCCCAACACACCCGAGGCTGTACTGCTCCTCTGTGAAATGGGCAGGCCTGTAATTTGGGGCCTAACTTCACAAAAATTTAAAATATATAGACAGGGTTATTGATGTACACATGAGATATTGCAGAACACAATTATAATTTTTTTCTACAGTAGCACACATGGTTTCTGAAATACATGGCAAAATTCCAATAAATTGAAATAATTTTGTGTAAAAATAAAAAAAAATCAGCCATAGTAAAGCTCAAAATGTAACGTGAGACACATCAGTATCTGATTTATCAAAAAGTTTGCACTTCTTTAGTAGCTTCTAAAATGCCTCAGGAGCAGTGCTGTGTTTAACACGAAATGGGGGGATGTATAATGTAACGCCCCCAAAACTTGGCAAAGCTATTTGTGTACTCGAGCGATATAGCTGAGCACATCTTAATGTTTTTGTATTAGATCGCAAACATCAGGTTTCCAATATGCACTGCACAACTGTATGCATTATGTATGCAAAAGAATAACACACATTTTGAAAGAATTTGGTGGAAATAGTAGAACAATAAGGCTCAAAATATATCATATCTTGTAAAATAAACCGGGTGTCTACTTTTCAAGTGCTGTGCATTCAGAGGAATTTGAACAGATTGGGTGCTAAAATGTCCCAAAATGAGAACTGGGCTTTGAAACTCAGCCTATCAAAATGTTAAGGTTTGACAAGAACAAGTCTGTAACTGGCCCTGTAAACTCCCAAAACTCTAGTAAAGTTATACATGGGGTTATTAGCTGAACATAGTCTGGACGGATTACTTAGAGGCCAAATGCACTAAACGTAAAAAATGTAGAGTTTTTTTCCTTGATACTTGTGACCTGTAATTACCTTAAATCAGAACATATAACCAAATTTTCATTAGTTGCACTAATGAAACATATTGTAATAGGTAAAACAGTTTTTTTTTTTAAATCTATAAGATTTATACATTTGTGGTCAGGGACAATAAGCCGAGTTGTAGCAGTGGTGGTGTAAGTTGGTTGTAGTGTGCCGAAACCGATTTTCGGGTAGGCCTGTTAAAAGAGGACCCACCACAATTGAATGGGTTGATAAAGGGAACGATGGGTGAGTTTAACCAGGCAGAGGGGAGGCCTGTGTATTTACAGGCCAGATAACCCCTCCCACAGCTTCAGGCTTCGCCTTCCCATATATATATTGGGGGGGTTGTGTGTGTGTGTGTATATATAATATATTGTGGGAATATTGGGGGGTTTGTGTGTGTGTGTGTGTGTATATAATATATTGTGGGGTTTGTGTGTGTGTGTGTGTTTATAATACATTGTGGGAATATTGGGGGGTTTGTGTTTGTGTGTGTGTATATAATATATTGGGGGGTTGTGTGTGTGTGTGTGTGTGTGTGTGTATATAATATATTGTGGGAAAGATAGAAATTATGATTGAACAAACAGCAAAAAGGGCATAATGACACAACGAGGCTGTGCTGCTAAGGGTTTAATGTTTTTTTCTAGGCGTTAAGATGTTTGAGCCTGTATGCATCCATAACACAGCTACAGAGCAATAAATCATACAGTAAAGTTTCTCGAAACTCCAATAAATGTGTTTGCATATCAGTCGGTGTAAGTATGATACTTTGAGATTGTTCTATATTTCATTTTCAATTTCACGATTGCTGATTAGTAAGTCATAAAATCGCCTAAAATGTCCTAACGACACTTTCAGCCGCTCCCTCTAAGTTAACGTGCCCCTCTAGGCATTCAGAATTTTAGGAGTTTTAGATAGTATACTATGTATTTTCATTTTAGTACAGATCTTTTTTTTTATGAAAGATTTATTTCATCAAACATGCGTTTTGCATGCCAGCAATGATTTAATTTACCCCCTCAATATTTATTTACACTAAGGCTTCTCAGAATATACATGGCAGTGATTGGAACACAGTATAAATGAAACCAACAATAATTAATAAGTCAGCACTATATATTTATATACTGTATACTTACCGAGTTTGTTGTTTATTACCAAATCGGTAGATGAGTCAATCTCAAACTCAATAGAATGTCCAACATGTACACTAGATAAAATAAAATTAATTTTACTCAAAATTATATAACAAGACACTGATCGTATTAATTTGTTAACAAAGGCTAATCCTTGTGGTCAGAATATAACAATAGGTGAATTGCTGCAATCAGGCCTCGAGTTAGACTAGAGGATAGAAGTTTCTTTAAGGAGTTCTCAAAGCACAGGATTGATTATTAGATTTGGGGATTTGCGGATCTCCCTTCGATTCTGCTTTAAAGTGGCACGGTCATGCCGAACTTACCTTTCCATAATTGCTTTCTCTTCTCTCCCTCTGTCAGGATCTGTTCTCCATTTCTTCCTATCTGTTCTAGTTTTCTATAAAACATAAGACAAAGTAGGGACTACTTTGTTTTATGTATTTTTCCTACGCCTGACCAGCTCTGACCCACTTCCTGTGGGTCAGCGAAATTTTCCCACAGTGCTCACACTTTGCTCCGTGATCTCGCGATGCCTGCTTTCAGTATTAGCGAACGTCCTGTCGAAAAGACAGGACGCCGGCAAAACTACCGAATTTCATCTTAACAGAATGAGAACACTTTGTTCATTCATGTTAGGACGCCATTCTGGACTTTTGTTCGGATCAGAATTTCATTTGAATTAATGAAATGCTGATCTATTCGTGCCGTGAGTAGAAAGCTCCATAATTCCCACGGTATCAGGGAGCTATCTACTAAAAAGCTGAAAGACCTAAATTGGTCTTTCAGCCATATTTACTAATACTAAGTAATGATTACTTGGCATTGGTGAATAAGGAAGTTTTAAATCTCCCGAATGTCCCTACTCACTATACCGCAAGTAGGGGCATGTCTACTAAACAGTGAGCAGCCTGTGGCGAGTGGGGACTATTCAATGGAACAGGTTTCCCCCCACACCCCCACTCCCCCCGCAACCCCTACCTATGAGCCGTAATAACAAAAGAAGAGGTCGCAGAATTATCACGGTCTCAAGAGTCACAGTTGTGACCGGGCCTGTCACCTGAGGGGTCCCGGCCGCCTGCGGACCCTTGTGACCGGGGGTCCCGCCAGCTGAGTAATGCGGCCCCGGCCTGCACGGTATAAGCCCCGGGGGCCGCATTGAAGGGGCCCATTGGGTGGCCCATGTTGTTAGGGCCACCTGATGCTATGTAATTCCCCTCTGATGATGATAGAGGCTGGGAGGAAGTGACTGCCCCGGTCACTTCCTACCAGCAACCACCAGGAGCTGCGTGGGAGGAAGGAGAGGGAGTCAGAGTGGGAACCCTGACTCCCATCAGCCTGAGCCACCACTGGTATGTGTGCCTGTGTGTGTGTGTATGTCTGTCTGTGTGTTCCGTATGTTAGTGTGTGCATGTCTCAGTGTGTATGTCTGTGTGTCTGTATGTGTATGTCTGTGTGTGTGTGTCTGTCTGTATGTTTGTCTGTGTGTGTGTCTACATGTGTATCTGTATGTGTGTGTCTACATGTGTATCTGTTTGCATGTGTGGGGGAGGGGGTAACGTATAGGAGGGGGACGATAGACGTATGGGAGGAGGGTGGTGGAGGGGTGTTGACTACAGGGGGAGGGCCCCAGGGCAGGTAGTGTTTAATTTTATTGGGATGGGGGGTGAATAGGGGTCCCAACGCCTGTGAGGGGGGCTGATTTTTTACCTTTAGCCCCCACCTGTCGCCAATGGGTGGGGACTGGGGGGGAGACAATAGGTCCCCTCCCATTTTGTTACTTAGGGCACCCATCCGCCGCTCATGGGTGGGGGCCGGAGGGGCAGGGAGACAATAGGTCCTCCCCCATTTTGATTCTGGTCATAGGTGGAGGCAGTATGCCCCCCCACCCTTCATTATTACGGCCCTCAGCCGCTGCCGTTCCGTGGAATAGCCCCCACACTATGTCCTCCCCTGTTAATTATTTTTCTAGATGCCCAACAAAAGGGGACCTGTACTAGGTCCCCCATTAATTGATTCGGATGCAGCTCACTGTTTAGTAGACATGCTCCTACACGCGGTATAGCGAGTAGGGGCATTTGGGAGATTTTAATCGCTCCTAATGCTATTATGGTGTCACATTGACCCCCATATAGTGAGGGAGGACATGGGGGGAGTTAGGAAGAAGTGGGAGCACTGCTCCCTGACGCTTCTATTTTTACATATTACAATGAGGAAAAGAGGTATTCGCTGGAAATGTTTATTCATTAATTCGTATTTCTGACGAATGAATTGACAAAATTCCCGTCCGAATGCCCCAGTGTTTAACTGGGCATGCAAGGGAATTTCATAGCGCTATCTAGTGTGGGCAGATGACGTGTCCCACAGGGACTTCATCTGCCCACACAAAGATGGGGGCGCCCAGGGCCTAGGTTCAGGCATAAAATAATGGGGCCTATGAGTTCTAAGATATACATATGGCTCAAAGTCATTCCCAGCGTGGATATATTGTGATTGTAGACTGGGGAGAGCAACTTATGCAGTGTCTGCAATGGTCTCCTGAAAATGGATGGGTGAGGGATGGATTAGGAAGGAAAACCAAAATCTGATTAACTGGTCTCTCATCCCACCTTGTTTGCTCAGTGAAAGGAGTTCTGCTTCAGATCCTCCTTTTAGGTTAGGGTTTGTATGGTATTTAGGTAAATAAAATTACCCTTTTTTTTTAATTGATTCATAAAATACTCCCAGTATTATATAAACCTATATGGCAGGCTTTACCAACCCTGAAACAATCTAAGCTGTACTATAGCTGTCCCTTGTCTGTGATCTGCTGTTAGAACACATTATATAATGTACATAAAGCAAACTGTTTATAGCAGGTATCAAAAATATGCATGTACTTCTCAATAAATCTCTGACAAATTCACAGTGTGTATGCTTATCTGCATTCCCTTGATCATTGGTGGGTAAATACTTACAACCAGGAACCGTATCCATAGTTCAGGATTCCTTTAATTGACGAGCTTACGTTTTTGATGACAATATTAATAGCATCGTCTTCTCTCAGTTCTACTTCGCTGCTTTCAATTGACAAATTACTGATCTGGATGCTAAGGTGGAGAGAAACAGATTGCACATTATCTTCTTGGATCCTAAAATCAAAGCAGGATGTGTCCCCAAACACAGCATTCTAGTGACTGAATTGTCTGACAGCCATGGGAGTGCTGCTGAAGTGCCCCAGAAAATGAGGGATCGCCAGCCATACTGGGTTTTGGCAATGTACTTGGAGAAATGCTAGGTCCCACTCCAATTTTAAAGATGGTGGCTAGATGGTGATTTTAACAGTATAGGGTTAGGAATACATGTTTGTGTTCTTGACCCAATAGTGTTCCTTAAACAAAACAAATAAAAGATCTGGTATTTCATGGTCCACATTAACATATGGTGAAAAAATATTTCTAAATACGTATACACGATTGTAATTATGGCGGCACAACACAGAAAAGATAACCCTGGGGAATATCATAACAAGGGGGCTAGAATGCAGATTTCAAGGGACATACCATTAAAATGCCATCTATATGGTTCTATAAAAGAGTTAATCATCCTCACTGCATATAGTATAGGAAGATAATAAAAATAACCAATAGGCGGCAGTCTGACAAATCTCCCCCATTGTATTTTATTTAGTTATATAACAAAGTGTCTATAAGGATATGACATAGTTAAACTCTTTTTGCTTTATATGCTTTAAAATAATGTTTGAAATAATTATGCTGACCTTGGCAGATGTATTCTGTAACATGCTCTGAGAGGCCTCCCTTCTACAGGGTGTATGACCTCGCTCGACCTCAGGATGTTCCTGTCCTGTCTTTATTTAAATGCTTATCTTTTTAATGTCAGACAAGTATGTACTACTAACTATAAGGAAGAGATAAATCTCGCTGCTTGTGTGACAAACTGTGTATAAATGCTAGCCCTGAAAATACACTCATTTGAGAATCTTGTTAAAGCACATTTGTGGTGTCCGTGTCTTTATTGCTCACAATGATTCTCCATCAATATTGATTATGGTGACCGGAGAATCGAGGGGAGTTGAGTTGAGTCCAGAACAGCATTAACCCTTTCAGTGTCGTTATCTACAAAAGTGGAGCAAAGTTCTAAAAGGAGGACAATATGGCAGCCTACAGTAATAATGACCTGATGGCCCATATCTTTTCTCTAGTGCCATAACCTCCTTGTAGTAAATAAGCAGCTCTGGCAAATTTGAGCTTTAACCCTGCCTAAACTACTTTTACTGCAACTAGAAACAGCCCAGGGCACAGAGCAGTCTGCTAAGCAACTTAGGGGACACTCCTGGTCCCAGAAAGTGCCACTCCGAGAAGCAAACTTAAAAGACCATTATAGTGTCAGGAAAACATACTAGTTTTACTGGCACTATAGTGCCCTGAGGGTGCCCCCATCCTCAGGGTCCCCCTCCCGCCCGGCTCTGGGGAAAGGAAAGGGTTAAAACTTACCTTTTTTCCAGTGCCGGGCAGGGAGCTCTCCTCCTCTTCACCTCCCCTTCGGCTGAATGCGCACGCGCGGCAGGAGCTGCGCGCGCATTCAGCCGGTCTCATAGGAAAGCATTTAGCTTGCGTGTTCTCACTGTGATTTTCTCTGAAACTGCTATGTTTATAAAAAAAAAAAGGGGGTTAATCCTAGAGGGACCTGGCACCCAGACCACTTCATTAAGCTGAAGTGGTCTGGGTGCCTAGAGTGGTCCTTTAACGTCTGGCCTTGCGCCTAGCAAATCCGGCAGCCCCTTGGCTGGGAGAGGTGGCCGATCTCCCTCCTAGGGTTGCGGGACTCCAATCAACTCTTCTGCAGCCCGTAACCCCCCCTGCTTGGACCAGAGGGGGATATCCCAGTCCCCACTGGGAAAACGTACCTCTCTATAGCAATGAATACGACTTCAGCTGTCCCAGCGGGCACAAGGCCCATCCAGGATGGCTGACGCCCTGCAGCCTCCTAGTCAACTGGGCCTACAGAGTCTGGCATGGCGGGTACGATTCGAGGTCAAATTCGACAGGATGTGCCAGGAGTTCTGGCTTCACATGAGCAACCACTCATGTGCTCCTTTCCCATCTACTCAGGCCTCCGACAACAAAAGCGCACAGGGAAAACCCCTCCCTCGCCTATAGCTGCACAGTGTTCCCGTCGAGCAAAGCCTGCTCCATGTGGCATCATGCTCCCAATACCGATGAGGCAGGTGAAGGAGAGATCGAAACAGGTGGCACGCCATAAGACCGGTCACCCAGACCAAGATCCACATGGGGTCGTTGCCATCCACTCAGCTCACACACTGGGGATGCTCATGGCTGGTATAAGCGGCTCTCACACACAGAGGACTCCCGGGACCCTGCTTGGGTCACTGGATATGACTGGAGCAGCAAGCCGAGTGGTATGAATCAAGCAGAGGTCAGGGGCTGGTGGGAGGAATGGCTGGGGACTATGGGACTTATCCCTCTCCTATGTGGTGGATGCTGTCGGGCTGGCATCGGCTGAACAGATACATTGTGGGGCCTACATAGCTTAGCTTATCTCACTCTTATATGAAGTCTCACTCTATTTAGGAGTGTACCAAGTGGTTACCTTTATTGATTTCCTTTTACATACTCCTGTAGTTGGTTTTATTTTGCCTTTACACCCTTATATCTCAGTGTACATGTCCCTACACACTCAATGTTTGTACCTTGTTTAACATAAGCTCATACCAACTCTAGGACATGACATACCCCAGAATTCCATATTTTACTGAGAATCATCTGCAGGTGTAATGGTTATCTTGTTGTTTTATTATTTTTCATACTTCTGTAAATTAAGTGCATATATCTTGTCAAGTCATACATTGTACTGCAATTTAGTTTGACATATCATCTTGTGGATATGACACTCCAAACATGCCTGTCTATCACTGCACTATCAAAAATAAAGAATTACAAAAACAAAAAAAGTCTTTAATCTCTAATGTTTTGCTCACTCCACATCAGGTCAGAGTCTCTATCACCTAACTGAGCCATTCATAGTTACTAGATATGTCTTCTCATATACATTACAAGACTGAGACACAATGAGACTTACTTGGTTAGACCATATGTCACTTTTCCCAAAAACCTGACGCCTCTCTCTCCATTTATGTCCGGAATTGACGCATGTTGGAATGCAGCCTGGATAACTTGCGCAGTCTGTTCGTTCACTGATGGGGTACAAGGGCAAATAGGGTGAGATCTGGTGTTTCTGATGTCAATGGCCCCAAAATATTCAGTATACTTTCTCCACATACAGGGACAGGACATTAGACATTTGGATGTTGTACCCAGATAAAATTACCATCTAAACTTTACTTAATAAGTAATAATGTAAAATATAAGGTATTAATTAAGTACATGTTTTGCGCTAGAGAAAACTAAGTGTCAGTGTATACAGCGATACTCATGAGCTCCCCCTACATCATGCAGTGCCCCCTAAATTGAAGTGGGGAGAATTGTGTCTCCCTTCTTAAGCTGCAGCAGCACTGTCACTGTGGAACTGTGTTCCACACTTTTCCCACATGCGACCAGAGGGAGCGCTGGGCTGGGGGACTTCTTCCTGGGTCATAGAGAGCAGTGCAGGGGAGAGACAGGGAGAGGAAGCTCAGCTCTGTACACAGGCATCCAGGCACACTGTGTCTTGTGGTCAGCCTAAGGCACACTTGTGCAAAAATCATGCTGTGTAATCAGCATCTTGATATGCCACACCTGTGAGGTGGATGGATTATCTCGGCAAAGGAGAAGTGCTCACTAACACAGATTTAGACAGATTTGTGAACAATATTTGAGAGAAATAGGCCTTTTGTGTACCAAATGGGGGCAAAAGTAAGTGTTGCGTTTATAATTTTGTTCAGTGTGTGTGTGTCATACACACACACACGTTTTAAAAGTGCCCCCCTATTTTTGTCCCTGGCCCCTTGATGTGCCCCCCCCTAAGTATGAATCCTGGAGATGCCACTGCAGGCATCCTGCTGTACATGAAGCTGATCTTGGGGGTTAGAACACACCAATGTGTTTTTGTTTTTACCGTGCACCTAAAAGTGAGCATTTATTTTTTTAGTAGATTTACAAAAAATTCAAATCCTATTGTGAGTTTTATTACTGTGTAGCTCAGTGATCATCTAGTTAATATGTGCTATGCAGTTTTAATACTGTTATTCTTATTATACACCACTCATTACCAGGGCCAGATTAACATAGGGGCTGATGGAGCTGCAGCTCCAGGTCCGTGAAATAGGCCCATTAAAAAAAATATATATATATATATTTTTTTTTTTTACACACTGCTCTTAGGTTTGCCACCTGACTGGTATTTTACTGGCACAGCTGGTATTTTTCTCAGTATAAACGGAGATTACTCTGCAATACCAGCACCGGCCAGTAGGCACTGTATGTGGAGAGAGGCAGGGATAGGAAGTTACAGCATTTCCCTGCCTCTCTCTACTACTTACTGATCCGTGGGGAAGTCCAGACAGCAGCTCTACAGCCAAGGTAAGCGAGGGATGGGAGAAAGGCATCAGGGAGACATGGTGACACTGGAAAACACAGGGACACTGAGACACTAGGGGACTCTGTGAGACATGAGGATGCTGTGAGACATAGGGGGACACGGAGACACTAGGGACACAGTGTCCCCATGGCTCCCAGTTTCCCCTAGTCTCCCAGTGTCTGTGTCCCCATGTCTCTGTGTCCCTAGTGTTTCCCAGCCAGTGTCTGTGTCCCTATGTCTCTGTGTCCCCATGTCTTCCAGTGTCCCCAAATGTCTGTCCCCATGTCTATGTCCACGAGTGTCCCCATGTCTCCCCAAGTGTCTGTCTCCCAGTCAGTGTCCCTAGTGTCTGTGTCCCCTAGTCCTCCACTATCTTTGTTCCCATGTCTCTCAGTGTCCCTAGTGTCTTAGTTTCCCCAAATGTTTGTGTCCCCATGTCTCCGTGTCCCTAATTCTCCCAGTGTTCCCAAGTGTCTCAGTGCCCCCATGTCTCCCAGTGTCCCCATGTCTCACTGTGTCCCCTAGTATCCTAGTGACATTGTGACACTGGGAGACTAGGGGACTGGGCAACATGGGGACACTGGGTGACTTGCGAGACTGGAAGACATGGAGACATTGGGAGCAATTCATCTATACAGCAGAATCAACCTGTGAGTAGTTTGTGATTTTACAGCATTTTCTCTTATGTCACTCCTTGTGATGTCACGCATAACTAATTAATTATACAAATGATTAAGGCTGGAATTTTTTTTCAAAGAAAGGTGGCAACCCTAAGTACTCTTCACATACTCTTGCTTAAAGGAACACTATAGGGTCAGGAACACAATCATGTATTTCTGACTCTATTATGTAAAAACCACCATCTAGCCGCCTTCTTGCCTTCCTATATATAGTAAAATCTTACTTGTACTCTGTAGTCTGCAGCTGCTGGCTCTGCCTCTGAACGGACTCTGTCTGCTGACATCATCAGAAGTGGTGGTCTGAGCAAATTACAATGCTTCCCCGTGGGATTAGCTGAGACTGTCAACTAGGCAGATCAGAGGCAGAGCCAGCACAAGTCAAACATAGCCCTGGCCAATCAGCATCGCCTCATAAAGATAAATTGAATCAATGCATCTCTATGAGGAAAGTTCAGTGTCTGCATGCAGAGGGTTAAGACACAGAATGGCAGTGCTGCACACTAGGCAGTACTGCCCCAGGAAGCACCTCTAGCAGGTCTGGTCACATGATTGGCGCCTGTGGCACACCCTTTTGCCCCGCCCTTTGACTTCCTGCTTCACTGGACACTGCTGTTAGGGGGTATGGATTTACTTGAAAGATGAAATCATAAATTAAAGCGAGATTAGCATAGAGTATGTGTTTTTGTATAGCTGCATCCTTTGAGTTTCCCTCCAACACCATCTCATGATCTCACATGATGCTTGGGGAGGTATGACTGTTTTAATATTTTTGGTCGATAAGATTCTGTAATTAGGCCCATCATAATTGTCAGCTCCAGGCCCAATGGGCTCTTGATCTGGCCCTGATTGGCCCCTATTGTAGTGGTTATGGTGCCAGGTGTCCCGTTATGCATTTATCTGGTAAGGAGTCAAGTCCACGATTCTTTCAGGTGCTCTCAGTCCTCCTGGTCTGCTCAGTAAGGATAAAGCAGAGCTTCTCATTCCGTTCTAGCCGTATCACTTTTGTATAACATTTCAGAGCACTCTAAGCGTGTCAGCTCACATGATATATAAACTCATGTTGTAAGGTCATGGGGAAGTAGATACATTGCCCAAATCAGAGGCGCTGTGTAACAGAATAACAATAAGGAAATGTCCTGCCAGTAAGGGTTGTAGTATTGTGTTAATTTTTTTTTTTTTTTAAATTCTTAGTTGGGAGATTGTGGTTTGTTGTTGCTATACTTTGCAGAAAACACTGCAGTGTTTGGAAGTATTTTATTATATTTAGTTTCTTTCCAGATTTTAAATCTATTGTGGTTTTATTTTTTTGCTATTTCATAACGCCTTTCAGTTTGTCATGAGGAGTCATTGGCAGAGAATCAAGCAGTGAGACAGCAGAGGCATGATCTATACACCCAAACCACTTCACTGAGCTAAAGTTGTTTTGATGCCTATAGTGTCCCTTTTAATGGCTATATTTGTGATATTGAAATTACAGAGATAACATATCCTTATCCCCTGTAATTAGATTGATATAAGATATTCTTCTTCTTACAAATATAGGGCCTCCATGCTGGATTCATTAAGTAAAAAGTATATTCATTTATCTGTATAAAGAGGAACATGCGATGAAAGCTTGAAGACCAACTCACAAGGTTACAATCGAATATGAGAGGGAACAGATAGGATACAGTATCATGTATGGTATATATAATATGTGTGTTGGTCAAAATGTAGACATCGTGGTGGTAGAAGCGAGTGAGTTTTCAGGGTCTTCCAGTGATATGAGGCCAATTTATGAAACTTGTAAAAATATGTAACTGAAGTTTTATATGGATTGATGATGAGTTAGGTATTTGTCAGCAAGGCCGATAAAGAGAAAGTTGCAATAATCAAGACAACACCGGATGAAAGAATGAATTACAATTCTCAGATTCAATTCTCACACAAAATATGATAACATTCTATGAAGTAGGAAAACATATGAGGGGTTGAATATAAGGGGTTAAGCAGTTAGTCCAACACAGTAAATACTTATTTCATTTTGAGGGGATAATATCAGTGGAGGAAAAAAAAATCATTATTTAAAATTCAAAGGTTACATTTCAGGTAATTTGGGAATATACAAGAAGAGATTTCGAAGTCTGAATTTGTGAAAGCTACTGGATATCGCCGTCCTTCGTTAGGATACGTTAGAAAAGGTTAGAATGACGGTTTCAAGGGCATAGAATAAAAAGGGAATTTGAACATTTGTGATGGAGCAGGATTGGGAATAGTGAACCTGTTTTACTTCCACCCACTGGATGCAGCAAGCAGTTACAGGACTTCATTGAGAAACCAACAAGATTATTTAGTAGAGTAAGACTTTAAGGCGAATTTCAATTTTAAGTACAAAATAGCTAAAGCTGTGCTCTCCATTCAGCTACGGTTACCTTAAATTGGAAATTCACTTTAAACTCTCTCTTTAGTAAATAACCCTGTAAAATGTGTGATTGCGAGAAAGCTGTGTGCTGTAGGATTGAAATGCTGTTTTGCGTTGCTTCTCATGACTTCACTGGGAAGAGCTGTAAAGGAGTAAATCAAATAACCTTGAGATTTTGTTTTTCTGTCCCAAGCCTTCCTTTTAAATCATACTTCCTGGTCTCCCAGATTTTATTTTTTTACTGCTTTGCCCCCAGTAATTTTTTGCTTGGTTAGGGCTGTAACAGGAAATGATGGGAATTGCAGTCCCACACAAAGAGGCTGTGCTTTTTAAAAAAAAATTTATTGCTGATTTACTATTGTGATAAGAATTTGGTTAAACGGAGAGGGGTGAATCTTTATGTAGAAGCTTAAGGTATCTGCTGTTTAATGTAAATACTATACATTTCATGGGGCGTTAATATAGGAAAGTGTTAGCTGAATTTACGCCATAACATCAGAGATGGATATATTGTCCTAATCTTGCAGGTTTAGGTAGTCAAATCACAGCCTATTAAATATTACTAGTATATACACAATTACATGGATCCCTGTACAGCTAATTAGAGGGGAAGGTAGTGATTAGAAAAAGAAACATACCTAGCTACTTAAGAGTCTATTCATAAAAGAGTGAATTGTTGGAATATAAAGTGAATTTTGTATTTCAGGGCAAAATAGCTGAAAAATACACCTAACTGACCTGGAAAAACTTTCCAATTTGACTACTTTGGCCTTAAATCTGGTTTATTTATTAAAGTGTGAATTGTGCACTTTAAACCATTTGACCTTTTGTAGCCTTAAGTTTGCAATTCATTGTTTAGGGAATAAAGCGGTTCTATAACCAGGAAGGTGGTTATTTACAGAGCAGTGAAAGTTTCCAGCCCTGGGTGTTTGTTCAATAAACAGGCTGTTGCAACATGCAAATATTCTCAGTAATAAGGTAGATACTTACACACCAAGGCTGCTGGCTTAGTCAGTCGGCAGACTATCCCAGTCTCCAGAGGCTTAAACTCACAAGCTGATGAAATCCTTAGAAAACAAGCAGAGATGAAGACTACAGGCCACATCCTTACGGCGAGCTGCTGCGATCTGACAGCTCTTGTCCGTTGTGGTGTGTTTATCATTCGTATTAGAAAGTAGCACAGGAAACCTTCCCTTTTCCCCATATTGTGCATTTCCTGTAGTATCCCTCACTTCCTTCTCTTCTTAGAAAACCCAGTTTATCTTTCTGTGAATGGCCAGTTTCCAGCAATTGTAACAGGAGAGTCTGGACTGGACCCTTGTCACCTCTGGTTCCTGCGGCCCTGAATGTTTGCCCATTGTACGGAGCAGAGAAATGTTGGTTTGTAAATCAAACTTACATGGAGTAGAAACAGACATTTAATTTTCTTGAAGTCTGGATTTGTGTTTTAGGAAAATTGAGCAATTGCAATTAACAATTACAGTGCTATGGAATTTGCTGGCGCTATATAAGTACAAATTAAGCTCAAAGGGTGATCCTAGGAAGGACATGCATGTTTTGTTTAATACACTTTATGTACATCCGGCAAAGTTCTCTTGCAGCACTGAGTATTACATAATCTTTAAATGAACAAATTCCTGACATGATCACAAATCCAGCTGTTTTTATTCCTCTCTCCCCCCACCCCCCTATTTTACACGGTCTCCTACTATTATTCACTAAAGTGGGTTTGTAGAGAATGGACATTGTTATTGCATAATTTAGTCTGGAAAACAGTGTTAGAACCAGTCTGGAAACAGCTGGACAGGGCTGACCGATATGTTGCGTAATATGTCTCCTGACGTACTTACCCTCTTCTTTCACCTACAATCTAAAAAAGACCAGTTTGACCTCCTTTTGTTCCCTATATTTTGCCATTAAGTTTGCACTCAATATTTGATAGAACTTTTTATTCTGTGCTTTATTTGCTCAGTAAATCCCACTGCCAAGTCCAATTATGCTCACGGTAAAGTAAATATATCTTACCCAACATCCTCCCTGGTTAAACTATAAACACTTGGCACAAACAATGCAAATACCTCGCTGAAGTCTACAATTTGGTTTCCTTAAAATGCACCTCTGGCAAAGTCAGTCAGTAAGTCCCCTATTTCTTTAAAAAAATAAACAAGTTCATTGTCAAAGGATCTCTAGCTAACCAACGCTAACAGGGTGATTCCCATGATAGTGTGCCTTGTTGGGAATTTAAAGTGATTTTCAAATTTTAGGCAAAAATCTAAACATGCACTTTAAAGTCCCAGCAATCCGTACATTGGTGCAAAACACTTTATATAAGCCTTAAAGTGCAGTCATGATAACGCAAGAGTTCTCAGGGACTGCTTTTCATGTAGAACTACTGCAGTCTATCCAAATGCACTAAACATCCCATCTGAGTGTTCATGAAGACATTGAATATGCTATTCCCAGCAGCTAAGTGATTGGTTTTACCAAGAGTTACTTATAAATCCCACTGAGGACCAGAAAACTAATCTGATTTCAAGTTTATGTAAATCCCACTTAGAGTACTCTCACCACCAGGAGGAGACTGTGTGCAAAGAAATCCTTGTCACAATTTGTTGTTTAGAACCCAAACACTGCAGCGCACCCCCCATGTCATGGTACAGATTTGGTGCATGTGCTGTGAAATCTAGATCTTTAGATCAAGACAGGGCACAGTAAAGACAGAAACAGGTGTATTGCAATAAAATGCATTTCAGTTTATTGAAAACTTTACTAAAGTGCAAGCTTTTGTGCATAAAATGATCACAAAATAGATTTTAGAATGCAGAGAAGCATACTGATGTACAGTAATACATTTGCTCTCGGCCTCTAGCAGTCAAAGCAGAACTCTGTTCAAAATACAAGATTTGTTGCAGTTTGTAAACGTTAACACTACAATTAGTGTAAAATTGTCCCAACATTCCACAAGGAATCAAATGGTACGAGCAGGACTGGCCTACTCAGATGTGTAGGTTTCACACATCTTGGACCGGTAAAAAAAAAAAAAAAAAAGTATATGCTTCACTTCGGATACTGGTCAGGGTGTGACAGTTCTTCTGGAGATCTACAAAGCATCAGTTCCTAAAACAGACTTTGTCTGTGCTTTGTAAGCATGGAAGACTATGCATGCAGCAGAAAGGTTTACATGGGTTACATGTGTCCTAGTTAATCCGGTCATCACTGGACAATTGCAGGAGGGCCTTCAGGGATCAAAGAGGCAAAGAAAGTCTTAAAAAATATCCAGGCGGTTGTCACAAAGGATTGCGTCTGAAGAGTCGCTGCTGCTGCATCCTCAACAAACGCTTCATCGGCATTCTCATTTTCCTGTAAACAGAGAAACCATAATCAAAATCTTGTCAAACAAAAGACAGCACGAACAAGGACTCTGGTACACCCACTGCTGTGTACTACTGATTCACAGGAGTTTGCAGAACAGTGTTACCACTACATCCAACTGTACAACCCAGTATATGGTATTTAAACCACCATGCACATACAGTAGTTCTTGGGCAGAGTGCTGATAGCTGAACAACCCACAAGAATATTTTAGCCTTCATGGAACGGCTGAAAGTTTAACCTGAGAATCATATCTATTAACCTCAATATATGAAAGATGCTCATTTATAATTTGCAAGTCTGTGTTGGCTACTAACACAAGGTGCACCAACCTGCAAATAACTGCATTGATAAAAGGTTAGTGGTATACTAGGGGCATAAAGTCAGTTTGGTGAAAGCATCGGATTTCCTGGGTGCGCAGACTGCAGTGCCGGCTCTTACCTGTAAGTTGTTGTTTTGGTCCTGTTGATTGGGAGCTGCCTGGGGAGCAGGGTTTACCACTTGCTGTAATTGTCTCTGTCTGAAGGGAAACCATCCTGCATGGTGTCTGAAAAAGATGGACCAGTTAGTTTTTATAAACAAGCAAAAGACAGATTAAACTATAAGCATAGACTAATGTGATATGTCTAATTCTAGCAGTAACTGGGACTAGCTCTGTCACAGAAGCAGGAGAGGTCTTTGTCAATATGAAAGGAAAACCTCACCACATTTTTTCTTCAGGACCATTACAGGCTCAATACAGCCCCAAACCACCCTTACGGAGAGCATTGTGACTTAGATCTAATCACTCATGAGGATCACAGCAAGAGCAAGTCAAGCTGTACTGCAGGAGACTCTCACCCCTGAAAAAAAAATGTACGTTTATTTTCTTGGAGAAGCACTGAGGACCAGTGACCTATGCAGCAATCACTGTGCTCACTCAATTAAGTGCTATGAGAAGTATGGTCCTACCTTTTGAACTATAGTTTAAGTGCAAGTGAGGCATTAAAGGACCACTATAGTGCCAGGAAAACACTCGTTTTCCTGGCACTATAGTGCCCTGAGGGTGCCCCCACCCTCAGGGACCCCCTCCCGCCCGGCTCTGGAAGGGGGAAAGGGGGAAAAAAAACTCACCTTTTTCCAGCGCTGGGCGGAGAGCTCTCCTTCTCTCCGCCTCCGATCCGCCCCACCGGCTGAACGCGCACGCGCGGCAAGAGCTGCGCGCGCATTCAGCCAGTCGCATAGGAAAGCATTTACAATGCTTTCCTATGGACGCTTGCATGCTCTCACTGTGAAAATCACAGTGAGAAGCACGCAAGCGCCTCTAGTGGCTGTCAATGAGACAGCCACTAGAGGATTAGGGGGAAGGCTTAACCCATTCATAATTATAGCAGTTTCTCTGAAACCGCTATAATTATGAAAAAATGGGTTAACCCTAGAAGGACCTGGCACCCAGACCACTTCATTAAGCTGAAGTGGTCTGGGTGCCTAGAGTGGTCCTTTAAACCCTCCATCCTGTCAGACTGACAGCTAGGAGATTAGAACTATGGACTTTTAAAAGCGCAGGTTTTACATTGAAACTTGGCAAACAGAGGGGAACTTCAGCAAGCAGAAGTAGTTTAGGGTAGGGGAGTGTTCCTTTTAGGACATCTACTAAGTAGGTCTTATTTTAAAGTAAAATTAGAAAAAAATAGCAAAAGTCAAACCAAACTAGACAATGACTGCAGTAGATACCAGACTTACAGGTACATGAGAATCATGGCTCCCAAGACCATCATGAAGCGACTCAGGCTGGAATAGAAGTACAGGATACTCAGAAAGATGGCGAAGCGAGCAGCCGAATAAACCCAGTCCAGCCAATCTCTGTTCAAATCTTCCTCTTCCTCAACAAGTCCTCCCTGGGCATTCATGCGCATGTTTGGATTGGCAGCTGGATTTACTGGGGCTTGAACATCTGGGTTTTGTGGCTGATTTTCTGCAGGAAACCTGTGTGGCAACGGGTCTGGAGCAGCAGCTGGTACAACAGGTATTTCCTGAGTACTCTGAGAAGGGAAGCGGGGATTAGCAGCTGCTGCAGCAGCATAGCTAGAGAAAGAAATAAGGAAAAAGTTAGTTACCTAAAAAGCCAACTCACCAGCCACAAGGCAATAAAACATCACAATGACAGGTTTGTTTTGATGTATTTAGTTCCTAACAAGTTCAGGCAGGTGTGATGAGTAACAGTAATATCAGTGTTCAGTTTGTTCTACCATTACTTGTAGATTTACTATACTGCAGCAGTTTGGGGCCATTTAATATCTACAAACATTGTGTGTCGTACTGTGTAGTTGTGATTGATGAGATTTATATTTTTTAATCCACCTTCCCCTATTATTCAATTTATTTGATCAATTTTAGCAATATCTCTAGTAAAATAGTTACACACTCTAAGCAGTCGGCGTTGCGGATCAGGTGACTAGTAAGCTATTTAAGGTAAACCCCTGGTGACCTCAAAGAGGACTTGTCTTTGCAACTTAGTTTCACGGCAACACAGCAGGTATTAGGTGACCTTTAGGTCACATGATATCTATACAGTGGAAGATTTTATCACATCTCTAGTGATGATCAAGACTGTCAAAGGGCACTTCCTCAGTGAAGACTTTTGAAACGGAAGGTCTTCACAAAGAAAGCATTAGCACAGCGCATGCGGACGCCAAACACTGTCCTTTGCTCTATTCTTTGGAAAGGAATGCGAGTCAAGCCAGATTTGATTTCACAGGTGCTATATCGCAGGGACTAGAGTGTGATTGCAGCAACAATATGACTTACTATTGCATGTAGTATTGTCTGGCATACATCTGTTGCAGCCACATAAGCTGCTGGGGACTGTATACTGCGTATGGAGAAATAGCAGGGTTGGCTCCTGGAGGACTAAAAAGGAAAAAATATATTAGAAGAGATGCATATTAAATCATGACAGTCAGTGTGTTTTATTAAACTGCCGTGGGAGGGACGAAACGCGTAGACGGATGTCGGATTAACCTACACCTGCTGTGATTGAGTGAGAGCAGGAAGCGGTTTTGTATTTTGGCGGTCTTTCCTTCTTTTCCATCGGATGAACTTATCTGGTATTGAAGCTTTAACGAGCTGCGGCAGTGAGTGAGTCCAGTATATATCGCGGTCTTTTTTGAAGATCCCGACCGCGATATACTTTATAGCATTTTGAGGAACCCTGTATGCCATCTGCTGGATTTTACCATCTCTTCAAATATTTCACTACCGCTTCCAGCCCGTGTTATTCATCATTTTTTAATTTTTTCTACACGCTTTGTGTATGTACCTCGGTGGGGGGCCCACACCGAGGAAAGGTACTTTTCTGTATACACTTTATTGAGTATTACTTGTTACAGTTGTTATATTTGTATCTGGGTCTGGTAGGGATAATACTCTGACACTTTGTTGTTTTTCACATAGTGTCTGAGTTAATCCTTCTGACCCCTTTATGCATTCTGTATTGCTGTAGGATTATATTTGCTCTTTTTAAGGGATACATTGTATTTTGTTCTCATCTCAGCAGGTCTAGATCACCTGTGTTTTTTATCCTCGTTATTTGGTATTTATTCTATCACAATATATTTTTTTTAGAATAAATTATTGATTTATTGATTGGTTTACATTTTCTTAATGTTTTATGAGTAAAGAGCGCACACACTTTATTTAACTTTTGAGCTTATACTCATCTATAGTCGCTAGTGGATGTGTGTAGCTGCTCTTATTTTTTATTTTATTTCTATATTTATAGTTTTTTTACGTATACTGCACCTATATTGTATATTTTTTATTAAACTGGAGAACTGACACTGAAATTACTAGTTTAAGGCCAAAATAGCACTGGTAAAATCTCTAAAATTACCTGGTTTGTAAGTAACCATATCTATTTCATGTATATTTTGGACTAGGGACATGCGCTAAAACAGACAGTGCTTAAAGGGACACTATAGTCACCAGAACAACTACAGCTTATTGCATTTGTTCTTGTGAGTAGAATCATTCCCTTCAGGCCTTTTGCTGTAAACACTGTCTTTTCAGAGAAAATGCAGTGTTTACATTACAGCCCAGTGATAACTTCACTGGCCACTCAGTCTTGCCTGCATGCAGACACTGAACTTTCTGCTCAGAGATTCATTGATTCAATTCATCTCTGAGGAGATTCTGATTGGCTGAACCAGGTCAGATTGCAGTAGATAAAATTCAGTTGAAAACAACTACTACTTATTGAGTGGGAGGTCTTTAATACCAGTTAATAGAAAGGAATAATAACCACTTCAGCCAACATACCAATCTGTACATGCAATGGGTGGCAGTAGTAGGCAGAAGACCTTGTGCTTATTAATAGTCTAAGTTATTGTAGTACTACTACTGGCTGGGAGTGGCAGAAAAGAAGGTATACAAATTAGATTTTATTTTTTTCTTCACTTAAAGCTTTTTCCTAGACTTTGCTCCCTCTTATTTTTCTTTGTAATTGTAGAATACATATAAGCATGCAGTTATGGGTAAATACCTGGTAAAGCGATTGGCAGTTGGAACATTCTCTGGAGCATTATTACGTTGTCTTAACCCATCAGTGGGAGGACTTGAAGGCTGGTTTGTAGAAGCTGTGCTTACTGGAGGAGTCTTCTCTTGTGCCTGCATATAAAAATACGTGTTAGCACATTCTTTAACAGTGAGTATACAGAACAAGTAACCATGGCAAAATACAAAAACCATGTATATTGCATAATCCACCATTTCTATATTACAGTAATATAGCTCAGTATTGGCAACTCTTGACCAGAGTGCATATCATACAACGCTGAGTAACAGATGCTAGGAAAATGTTGCTTTCATTAGCCTACACAAGCAAATAATCCCTTGCTCTGTGTCCCAGCAGGGGATTAACAGTGGAAGGAAATGATAATCAGTCTAATATAGGGAGTGTGAATAACAGTTGATCCACCAAATCTTTCTGCTGATCATTTTAAATGGTAGTTCATGAATACCTGGAAATCTAGTTTAGTTTCCTTAATACTTAGGCCTGTGCTCTTAAAAAGAAATATGTCCACTTTGGCAAATATATACTTTGTTTTGAATTTATAACAATGCCAGATTCACATAATTTCTATAACTATTCCATCAAAACCTTTAGTACATGATAGCGCCTGGTTAAGCTAATGATGAGTTAGGGTTTGAGTCATTGAATTTTAGGTGTAGTTATTGTTTAAGCTGTACAAAAGTATCACTTTATCACAAAAAGTGATTTTCACAGAATCATGTGAATCGAAATGTTGTTGGACAAATTAACAGAAAGGGCAGTAAATCATGCGATAACAGGGATAAATACTATGTAATGTGGCAGAGAATGTGTATTAAATAAATATTTAAAGATGTGTTGATACAGAAAAGGTGGGGGTTAAGGAAGAAGTTGGCATTGCAATCTGGTTCCTTTACGCACGCATGTAATGTCCTGTTTCTTACAGAAAGTGCAGTTGAGTAGGACATGCTATTTTGGAATAGGTTGTCCAAAGCAGATATAGTTATATTGGTAGACAGGCCTTGTCCCCTTCCTGTTCCAACATCAAAGCTGACATGAAAAGGGTTGTCAGGGACTGACAAATTTAGCTGTTTCAAGAACATTTCAAGCACAATAACCACTACAGCTTGTGATCATGGTACCAGCTTACCATATTGCAAATAGTCAAGCAGTTCTAGAATGATCAGATTTATTACATGTGGTCTGCTGGGTGCTGCTCCCAACCTCTTCTCACCAATCAGAATCTCGTGTTTAGGAGTTTCTATTAGCTCTCCTGAGCCAAGCCCTACATGACAGGACAAGCTGGTTGGATTAGAGTACTTGCTGAGAGAGAGAGAGATCAGCAGATAAAGTAATCCCTGCCCAGCCAGGTTTAGCTCTTGCTGAGAGTTTACAGCAGGCCTGGAGACTGTATAAGAGGCAGAATTCAGGTCTAACATTCTAAAAATGGCTCGACTGCTGTGTAGGTTATGGTGCTTGGAGTGTTTACATTAAAAACAAAAGGCCCATTGACATCTGAAATGGAAAAACCAACAATAAAATAAATCTATAACATACCAGAGTTTGGGGTGGACTCCGAGCAGAGCAAACAAGGTGCAGCACATGCCTGTTTTCCTGTAAAGCAAATAATATGATTACATTCTGAATAGAGGGAACAAGCAATTCTCTTTTAGCTATAGCAATGGGGAAAAAAATTAAATGTTCTGATTGAATTTACCTTGGACAGCACTTCATTCAGCTTCAGGTGGTCAGGGAGCAGTTTTCCTGAATAGATCAATCTCTGATCTTCTTCTTTCTGAATAACAAAAATACAACAGGCAGTGAATACTAATGTTGCACCTACAGTGACTGACCTCGAGATCATAACAAACACCATGTTAAAATCATAATAGACTGCTGTTTCAGATATAAAGCTATAAAATAAAACATGCAGGATACTTCTTAGTGCATCATGGGAATTTGCTATAGCTTGCCAGAGTTAAGCATACTTCTAAAGTACTTGTTGTTTATTACATATTTTCTCATTAACTAAACGGCTGAATGTAAGAGGGAGGATATGAAAGAATTTGTTCTTTAAGCAACAAAGCAAGCCACATAACTATAGATCACTTGCTATAGTGGTCATGGTGCCATAAGTGCCCTACTTCCAATTGCAAGTAGTCACACCATTTTAGAACGGTTTTACTTAGCATCTGCTTGGCACTGCTCTTTGCCTCCTCATTCCTATGGAGAGCTAAGCCCCAAGAGTGTCAACTGATTGCACTCAGCCAATGAGCTTGGCCCTACCTGGCTGCTTAGCTCACATAGAGCTTCCGGATTGCCATTAGACGTAGTGAAGGCGGGTAGCGGTACTTGATAAAAACACAAGTTTAAAGGGACACTATAGTCACCCAGACCACTTCAGCTCAATTAAGTGGTCTGGGTGCCAGGTCCCTCAGGTTTTAACCCTTCACATGTAAACATAGTTTCAGAAAAACTGCTATATTTTCATTTGGGGTTAATCCAGCCTCTGGTGGCTGTCTTGCGGACAACCATTAGAGGCGCATCTGCGACGCTGGCGGCGAATTTTGCCTCCATAGGAAAGCATTGACACTCATGCGCATTCAGCTCCAGTGACAGACGGGGAGGAGAGGTCAACAGTGCCGAGGGAGCCCGGCACTGGATTAAGTTAAGTGGCTGAAGAGGTTTTAACCCCTTCAGCGCCACGGGAGGGGGACCCTGAAGGTGGGGGCACCCTCAGGGCACTATGTCAGAAAAACTGCTTTGTTTTCCTGACACTATAGTGATCCTTTAATGATTTACAATAGGGTTCTTAGAGTATTCCTTTAAGAGTGTTTTAAAAATTTTCTAATCTTATAACCGAAAATAGACCTAGCTGCTGATATATACTTTTTATTCCTTACAGGACCAAGGGTAAACTAATCCCTTGTCAGTTTCCACTCGTCATCTTGAACGCAATTTACAGCGCGCTGACAGAGCAAGCCCGGCTTGCTGTTGAATTGGTTAAAGTGGCTGAAAACTCAATTTGTTTTACCATCAAATACATTTGTTAATGTTTGTAATCTAGTACTGTTCAGTGTATATTAGCTTTGTTGGCAACAATAATTATAAGACACACAAAACAGTATTATGATACTGCATTTGTTGCTGATGAGCAGTCGTACATATGAAAGTTTTCAAGAAGCATTGAGTTATGTATAGCTCATGTTAACAATCATGAATTATACCCTAGGGCAGGGATAGGCAACCTTCGGCACTGAAGATGTTGTGGACTACATTCCCCATAATGCTGGCAAAGAATCATGGGAGGTGTAGTCCAAAACATCTGGAGTGCCGAAGGTTGCCTATGCCTGCCCTAGGGAATAAATTCCAACTATGCACAATCCACCTTTCAAAACAATTGTCATGCATGTTAAAAGCACAAAACCTGTTTAACAAGTATTTTAATAAGCCAGTCCAAAAGCCATGGGATCTAAAGTCCAAGATAATTAACAAGACAAGAGACCATAGACTGAACTATATAGACACTGGATTTAAAGCAGCCCAAGGTATAGTGAAAGTAGACTATAGTATACAGCCCTGTGTTTCTTTAGATCCTTTTATCCTGCAATTTTCTAACTGTATGCAAACATTTTACATAATAAACTGTCTGACTAAACTAGTAGTGGCCAACTCCCATACACGGATATGCATATTTATACAACAGCTTGTTACGATCTTAAAGGAACATTCCAATTAGCACAAGTTCTTATAGCAGGAGAATCAGGAAGCAAGAGCTGTGTTCTTAAACAGTGTGAGGGTGCCATGACACTCTAGGCACCATAACTACTACAGCAGGCTATAGAGGTTAAAGCGCTTAGAGTATTCTTTTAGGCTAAAAATATGGCATGTTATTCATGCCTAAAGTACAGATGCTTGTTGGTGAAAGGCCTTAACATTCAGAACATTTAAAAAAAAAACAAAAAAAAACCTCTATATTCTTGAAAGTGTTGAAGCAGCTGTGTCACCTTAAACTTAGTGTCCAAATCAGTTCCATTCTAGAGACTACTTTGTCTTATATGTTTTCCCCTTCTTTAGAAAGAGGTGGAGCTACCCTCAAGTTTTGGGAAAAAATGTCCAAAACCCCCAGAAGGTGACAGTCACTTTAAACTAGAGGTGACAACAATAATGCCATCATTGTAAGCACGACCTTAAATGTTAATATTTTGTTGTGTGAATTAAAGAATATGGTACATTGGAAGAGTAACTGGGATACAGGCTTAATATAATATAACAATAATATTTCTGCACCTTTGGTTGGAATGCCTGTAATCTGAGCCAATGTTTTGTGACATTCCATTGGTTTCATAAACCCCTGACAGAATGGTCTGCAGGCAGAAAGAGCACAGGATTGTGAGAAGCAAATCATTAGGGTCAGATAACCAAGAATCCAACTAAAAGGGTCCAGAGAGAGCTCTCGGAGGGGGGAGTGGGAAACCAACTTCAAATAGGTCACTACCCCTGAATAATAATAATAATAGATGTATTACAGATTATATTAGAGAATGTGAATAGCAGTGCTTGCTTCTGGCTGATGCTTATGTAACAGCTGGTAGAGCTATGTTCTGCCCACTCCTCAACAAACTTTATATCCCTCCCCCCGGACAGCACTCTAGCTGCTGGGGACTACATTACCCAGGAACCCCTGGATACAGGCAGACCAGGTTCACCAGGCGGGGTCAGTAATCCCATGGCCGTGATATGCAGGCTGTGGGGCCCCCCGGAGGGGCTAGGTGGCCCCTGTTCCAGGCTGTGGCCCCCAGGAGCGGATATTCAGTATGTGGCCCCCCCGGAGGTGCTAGGTGGCCCTTAATGCAGGCTGTGGCCCCCAGGAGCTGATATTCAGTATGTGCCCACCCCCTCCCCCCGGAGCTGATATTCAGTATGTGCCCACCCCCTCCCCCCCGGAGCTGGTATGCAGGCTGTGGCCCCCCGGAGATGCTAGGTGGCCCCTAATGCAGTCTGTGGCCCCCCCGGAGGTGATATGTGGCCCCTGATCCTCACCGGTTCCCCAGGAAGCTCCCGGTGTAGCTGTGATTTGAGTTCACGCACAGAGCAGCTCCTGGCCGCCCTGACCTCCCGCTCGTCCTGTTTCAGGCTGGGACTCCGGATTAACAGTACGACCTCCCCGTCCGCCATGTCTGCGGCCTGCTCTATCTCTGTAACAACTTCCGGTGACTCGGGCAGCCAGCCGCTGCTGACACTTCCTGCGAGCTCGAGGACACTGGCAATCAGGCGGCCGGGGGGCGAGCGGCGCTCTTATAGTCCGGGTTATGTTGCTAAACACCGTGTGGCCGGCGCCCATTGGCTGGGGGAGCCTCGCGCTTCGACGTGTGCCAATGAGCAGGCAGGAAAATGACAGTGGGCGGGGCCTGTCTGATGCAATTTTAACGGAGATGGAGGGGAATGGAAGGTCCGAGACTGGAGAGTAACCACGCCCCCTTCAGTTGATTGACAGGCACCTATGTTGGTAGTATTATTTAACAGACAGTAAGGGCAGTGATGGCCCCTGCAGGAGCTGGGAAGCTCAGTGCTGGAATAACTGTGTTTTAATGATGGTCTATCTACAGCACAGTGGGTGGATGAGCATGATGGGAGATGTAGTGGCAGAGCTATAGGAGAGAATGCAAATATATGGAGTATAGTGGGTTTAACCTCACAAATTGTAATAGGTGGTAGGTGACTGTATATAACACTGCACACGTAAACCCCCAAGGGCCGGTTAGGGGCAGATTAGCTGGAATTGGATGCGTTTGACACAGCTGGAAAGAATCCTGCACAAGACTATTAATATTATTTATATAGCGCCAACAAAACCGCAGCGCTGTACAATAGGTGGACTAACAGACAAGTATTTGCAAAAAGATGAGTTGGATGCACAGGTACAGAGGGGGTGGAGAGGCTCTTACACCTCTAAATTAGAACAGATGGAACTTTGAATGGCAAATGTTTGGCAAAGATTGCTAACCAGGACTATAGCTACAACATGGTGAGTTTAGGCCCTAGGCTGGATACCAGATTGGTAGCCACACTTCAACTCTGAATGGGCCAAACCTGGTTAATCCAGCTAGGCTCTTATCCGTTTATAGGAGGAGGAATCTGTAATTCCTTTACTTCTCAGGTAGGCAAAATATGGGGGAGCCAAGAGTTTGTGTCGATTCCCCAGTGTTCCTTCCAGACAGGACTGTTGGATAGTTTCTATGGGAACAGAATATATATATATATTCTGCTGTAAAAACATTTCCGTATATCAGCGGCACCACACGTACACTAGAAGGTGTGAGAGCAGGGCAGGGTGGGCTAGTAACCCTGTGTGTGTCACTGAAGACACGGTAGAACAGGCTCAATTCAAAAACGAAGTTGGTTTTGCCCAAAAATTTTAAAAAGGCATTAATTTGACATTCATACACACTAGGCCAGGAGTAAGTAAACGTCAGCACTCCAGATGTTGGACTACACCTTCCATAATGTTGGCAAAGCATCATGGGAGGTGTAGTCAAACATCTGGAGTTCCAAAGGTTACCTACCCCTGCACTAGGCTGACTGGTAGCAGGCCAGTCCCACCTGCCTATGCATATTAGTGTTATTTAATCACTCTCATTTGATGAATGCCTTCTGTATAGTTTGTACAGTGTGAGAGTATAATTTTATGGGGACTTGGTCTCTGGGTTCCTGCTTCTGGAGACACCAGTTGCCATGTGGGACAGAACCCAAAGTCACGACCTTTCCTCAAAATGCAGGACAGTTGGTGCAATGCAGGCAATGTGTTTAAAAGGTGTTGAATAATTTCAGCCTCATTCAACACGGTGCCACTTTAATGTCACGGGCAGTGAATGAGTACTCAGAATGCTGCAAGCTGTAAGAACGCAACATCTTCACTGGGATTCACCCACCCCAGGTACCTGATCTGAGAACATAGTGTTCAAGGGCAATGATGTACCCCACCTTGTAACTGTGTGCCATTATAAATATTGCTGTTTAGATATTGGATATTAGCATTGTGCCCTTGTGAGTGCAGCTGCAGTACAGCATACATATGTTTAAGTCACAATTTCAATGGTAATATTTAGATTTAGGAAAGCATAGACTCTGGATACTGGATGATGTCCTTATGCAGAATAGTTTCATTGAGTCAAACTCTGCAGGGCTAAGATAGCCTCCAGTCAAACTCCCTTCACAAACTTAACATTGCAATTTCTCCAAAACTGCAATGTTTGCAGCTGCAGGGCTAAGAGAACAGAGACGGCGCACCCAGACCAATTCAATAGTGTCCCTTTAAATCTAAGAATAAATCTATATTAGAACTTTGGACTTGGCACTGTTTGTTACTAGTGACTTTATCACAGAACTTATTTTCTGTGAAGTATTTAGCTTTTCACTGACCAAGGTCCAGCCAAATACACATACTTCCCCTACCCCGTCATGTGTCAGGGAGTGTGACTGCATATGAAGAATGTGTGTGTGTTATATAATATGTGTTCTATATTACTCTGTTCCAGGTCCCCTCCGTTGCCTTTAGTTTATGCATATTTTGTGCAAATTAAATCCTCCCCCTAGTTTTTACCAGTGTTTGCTTGTTCCTGGCATGCTTTTTATGGTGTGCGGGGAAATACAGTAAGTTTATTGCACAAAGGCGCATGTTTGTCAAATGAGTCTGAAGAAGAGCCCTATTTGTTAACTTATAAAAAGTAAAGGGGACATCTTTCATTTTAGTCAAATGATTCCTGTATTTAAGCGATGTCATCCAATACCTCAATATTATAGAGAAAATAGGGGTTACCAAACAAAGTCAGTATACTGCCCAAAATCCCCATTCTGTATATGTTTGCTGGCTGCTAGGGATAGATTGAGTAGCGCTCTAAGGAGAGATCTCCAGAGAATAAACATTGCACAGTTGCTGATGACAGTTTCTGTAAACCATTGCAGGACGACTCTGGGGATATTTGAGTTAGACGGATGCGTAAATCAGGATGTGGGGTAAGATCAGTGTGAGGGTAACTTTTACCATTTATCATGCTGCAAAATGGAGAAATTTCTCTGTAGTGAGACAGCTATGTACCCGTGTGAGGCCTCCTATTCAGGGAGTTGAATCTGTGTTACATTGAAACAAAGCTCTTTCCACATTTAGTCCCAGAGTGTGTGAATGTGATTTTTGGTTTTAAACACTACACTTTCAGAACGTGCAGCACAAACGGGATGATCTCTATCAAATGCAGTGGTTTAGGGATTTTTCTATGCAAGTGTTCAGTGTGTCTTTTCAGAGAGCTACTGAAAGCACATTCAATGTTATTCCCTATAGGGAGTATTGTCAGGGATCCAAAGTGAATTCTAAATTTAAGGCCAAAATAGCCAAGTTGGAAAAGTTTCCCAAAGTCTGTTATGGTTCTAGTTTGGCTATTTTGGTCTACAATTTGAAAACATATAATGAATTCCTACTTTAGCAAATATCCTGACTGTTTTCTTTGTACAACTGCATTACCTTTTACTTTTGCTCAGTGAATTGCATTTGCAGAGGTGTTTTGGAACATAGATATACCTCCCAACAGTTTCTGTTTAAACAGGACAGTCAGAATTCGGGTCCTTCCTGTAGTCCTGGGTTTGCCCTTTGGTGTTCTGCATCTGGGGACAGAGTCCAAGTTGTCATTAAACACGCATGCTCTATGTGTGCTGTAATGTAAGAGCACTTTAACAGCACTCTGCACATGTGCAGCCCAAAGTAAACACAGAATGTGAAGGCATATAAGAACCATTCGGCCCATCTAGTCTGCCCAATTTTCTAAATACTTTCATTAGTCCCTGGCCTTATCTTATAGTTAGGATAGCCTTATTAAACGCATGTTTAAACTCCTTTACTGTGTTAACCTCTACCACTTCAGCTGGAAGGCTATTCCATGCATCCACTACCCTCTCAGTAAAGTTTGTTTTAAAATGTTCCTGTTCTGAGTTCACTAATGCATGCTCTAATGAAAGAACATAGAATGTATCTGTATTCATCTGTACGCTGCAATTTTGAAAATCTTGCAAATGCATACATTTTATGAAAAAGCAGTTTAAATATATGGTCCCTCCTGCATTTATCAATTACTTCTTGGCATAGTGACAGTTGACACTTGAGTGACAGGAGAGAGCAGGAGACCCTTGCTTCATGTGGTTTTCGTACTCTCCATTACAGCAACAGATAAGCGTAGTGCAAATAACTCTAGTTATTAAGCATGTCCCTGTTATAACAAAAGCTTCAGCTAGCATTTCTTATCAGTTCTCTAGAATTCAGTCTTATCTGGTGAATAAACTCATGATATTTGCGTTACCATGTAAGTCCAGTAATTTAGATGTAAAATAATGAAGTATTGCAGTTTCTTTAAAAAACAGTAAACTCCAACTACTTCTCCTTGATTGCAAGAAACCGTCAACTTTACATAATTTACCAACATTAAAAGAACACTATAAACTACTAAAGCACTGTAGCTTAATGAAATGATTTGTGTGAAAAATGTGTCCTCGGTTTTTCATTTTACAATAAACTGTTTTATTCCCTGGCTGTCAGACAACTGGACATGTTACTTCCTGGTTTGGTTAGCTCAGTGGAGCTAAACTCAAGTGGCAGCAATTTCCCAGAGCACCTGCCTTGCGAAGAATTCTCATTGAGCTGTATTAGGAAGTCTGTGATTGGACAGCCACAGAAAGTCTGGGCGGGGTTAGAAGGGGAGGGCTTGCAAAGACTGCAGACAGCAGATTTGCAGCGTTTTGAGGCTATTTTAGATATACCCCATGTTTTCATTGGGGGTATCTATTAAGTAGTGATTTTTTTTTGCATTTGGGCAGTGAAGTGTCCATTTTAAGATGTTTTTTGTGTGTTTAGCATTTAGCTTACTGGGGTCCAACAGTGAAAAGATCCCTGGGGAGTTTTCTGGTTGAACCAGGCCAAGTTTGCCCTGCCCCCACTTTACAGAACACTGAAACATAAACAATCATATACATCTTACTGTAACCACAAAGCAATCCAAATAGTAAGGAATAGTACTTACCTAAATGATAATGAAGCAAGTCATCTTAAACCAGAGAGAAAGGCAGCCAGTGAGTGGATTTAACTTCTCAAAAGGTAGAAAGTTGACTCAACTAGAAAAACAAGTGAGAAACATTTTAGCTAATGACAGTGATAATTTAAAGGACCACTATAGTGCCATTAAAACATACTCGTTTTCCTGCCACTATAGTGCCCTGAGGGTGCCCTCACCCTCAGGGACCCCCTCCCGCCGGGCTTGATGGAGAGGAAGGGGTTAAATCTTAGTTTTTTCCAGCGCCGGGCTCCCTCAGCGCACTGAACTCTCCTCCTTTCCCCGTAATCGG